CCCCAGATGGGATAGATTCATTGACGCAACCATCGAGTTGGAAATGGGCCTCATCAGTGAAGATGATTTTTCGATGAATTTTTCATAGTGAATTTTAATAATTTCAATGTGTTGTTGAAGTGTTTATCGGTCTAATTTTATTACTGTCAAATGTCAAAAAATTACATCTACCGGAATCGTAGGCTATTTAAAATAACACATCTTATTGGAAAACACTTTACAAAGCTGCTGAGGAGCTTTTATTTCAAGTCAGAAATACACTCGGAGGCCTCGACTTTCTCTGCTGAGCGGAGAGCGCAAAAATAAAATCGCCTGCAGTCGGTTTAAGCGAGTTAACTTTTCCCTAGAGGAAAGCCGTAGCCAGTCTCCAACTGAAATTTGACGCACAACACCTTGAAATTAGCAAACGTAAACAGCTCTGGCTCTTTTTATAAAAAAAAATATTTTCATCGTTTGCGCAGCTGTTTCTCAATAGGAAAATAGGTCATTCCGATGAGGTCGCATGATTAAACCGCAAATAAATAATAAATAAAAAAGTTCTGCTTACAAACTGTACTACATATATTTCATAAGCGTAATGTGAAAAAGTTGTAAAAAAAAATACTAAAACAACTCAAATACTTTATTGAACATGGCGGTGGCGCATGCGCGCAATGCGAAATTGATACTTTTATCAAGTGGTAAGCAATGAAATAATAATAAAAAAAAATAATTATTACAAGCGCTGAGCACTTCATTCCACCAGCCAAAACCGCGGTTTAGTGCGATTTCGAAAAAAATACGCGAAGCGAAAAAACATAATGCAAATTGCTGCAACGTCGAAGCCAATAAAATAGTAATTTTTATTATTGCAAAAAAAAAAAAGAAAAAATCGCACATTTTTCAAGTCGAAAAGTGTAAAAAATACTTTGCGCGACTTCAGTTGCATTTGGTTTTATTAAAAGTTTTGAAATGCCGCGTACAAAAGTAATGAGAGGCAATGAATGGTAGCGCTCTGCGTGCTCTTTCGCGCGAGTGGCGACGAGTGATTTGTGACGCTTCAAAAAAAACATCCGTAGCGTTTGGTTGTTGTTGGCGAACTGATTTTACAATTTTACAGCAACAAATGGCGAATGGGGCAGGAAGCTTTTAACTACATCTTGTAACTGCTACCGGCTGTCAACGTGACGCGCGATGTTGTTTCGTTATCTTATTCATTGAAATTTTTTCGGTTTCGGCTAAAAACCATTTTATCTTGAGTTGCATGTTACATGTGGGTTGATTTATTCCTGCAATTTTCGCATGATTTTCATAAAAGATGAACTTTTTTAAATTTGACAATGAAAAAAAGTCACAAATTCGGTGATTTGATTTTTCAACAACGCACAGTGGGGTAATTGCCTCAAATCAAACTGTCCTTTTTCTAGACAGCTTAGCCTTGAACAATGCGCGTGAATTTGAGCTCTTACCGGCCATAGGTGAGTCACAAAAGGTGAGAGAAGCTTCTTGGAAGCTCTGACTGGAGATTACCTGATTCAGAGGTGGAGAGATGATTCATGATTTTTATGGCTGGAACTGCAAACCATCTATTTTTTTTTTAGAGAAAAGTTTCTTTGAATATCAAAATAACACCTCTTATTGGAAAACCCTTTACTTTCTTCTGATTTGTTCCATATTTGCGACGCTAAGAATAAAAAATTCCAGTTCAGCATTCAGGTAAATAGTGTTTTGTGAAATTATGATGGATGCGCTTGTGGGATCTTCTTAGCATCAATCTTTTCAATCTAACCTAACCTATCAGGTGTACAACTTTGCTTCCGCCGTTTTCCGATAGGTGGCTGTACCGGCTGAGGCTGGTTGAAATACATAGATTATAACGTCTTTAAAGTGAGTGTGGACAGTATCTAAAGAATGTTCATCGCCGTTTCAGTGACAGTTGTTCTTGTTTTCGTATTATTCACGCTCGAAAATGTCCGTTTATGTGCCTNTTTGGAAAAAAACGGCGGAAGCAAAGTTGTACACCTGATATAATAGTAGATTTTTATTTCATTTGTAGCGCAGTTCATTGGAAGATCGATTACTGGGTTAAGAAGACTAAATTCATCAATTGCAAGCCCATAATACTTGACATTATAACCGTTTAAACGAATTTCACGCGTACATTTTCTGCTTATGGAAGACCAATTTTAGACTTTTTAGTTACAAACTTAATGCTTCGGGTACTGCGTCATTGACGGCATGACCTTGCCACCGTAGTCACTGTTGTTTAATTCACTGAACTGTGCCTTGTACAGGTCATTGTTCCATCATGTGCAGCATTCGTCATCGTTCACACTCAGATCATCTCTTCCGCAAAACTTTTCTCTTGACAACCCCTAAAGCCAACTCATCGGAAATCGGCATCGGCCAAGCCGCTGCATCATAAAGACGGATAGTAATGAGAGACTTGTAGTTTGTTCTCTGAGAAAAAACTAATTTTCAATTGCCCGCTTAGTCGAGTGTGATTCTGCATTGGGTTTCGGGGATAGATGAAATTTAGCATCTTAAAGTTATAAGTGTCAACAGCCAATCCCTTAACTTCCTTAAACAGTATAGAAAAGCGAGTTTTTATCTTAAGTTTAATCAGTATTGGACCCTCAAAAGTTAAGGGACCAGTTTTTCTTCAAACAGATGAATAGACAGACAGACGGACAGCTAAATCAGATCAGCTCTATGCTCTGATCCAATTGGTATAAATTTTGTTGGGTTTCTCTCTGCTCCTTCTGGTACTTATGTATCTACTTCAGCCCAAAGTTAATACACCATTTCATATCCATTAAAGTTATAATAAAATAAAATATATAAAGCACTTTTTAAAGCTTAACGAACCACTGTGCTTCCACTCATTTTACACCACATTAGCAGTAATATATTTTTTATTCCATTTATTATTGCCGGCTTGTGCGCTTTATTGTCATCGTCTTTTCTTTGATTATATCTTTTAGCAGCAGATTTGATTTTAGGTCATGGCTAATGACCGGTCAAACGTGCTCTGGCATGTAGCGGACACAAGCCGACAACAGCAAATATCATACAATACAAACTTAAGTTTACATAATATAAACAGTCAATATTCATTCTCGCCTAGCCCTTTGGCTGAGGAATATTTCAATTTTAAATATTTTATTACAAAAAAAAATTTTTTTTTATCATACTTTCAGAAAAAAGATTCAGATTCAGATTTATTTTATTTTTAGTTTCATAATTTTCATAATTAAAAAATTGCCCATATTTTATCAGAAGTCAATAATTATAAATTAATTTTAATTCATGACAGTGAAAAAAAAAATGTCAATTAAAAAGTAAAAAAAAAATAAATTATATATAACAATAATTTCTAATTCAAAAAGCACATAACTCGCATTGTAAGAAATTTTGCACGCAAATTGAATTTACAGCGAAAGTATCTCTTATGAAGGACTGCTGAATGTCTCAATTAAATTTTTATTAAATTTCTATAAAGAAAGACGTACAAAACGACCAATAACAACCATACAAAAGGCAGCATCACAATTAAAGTAAAGTAATGCTCTAACAGAAAGTAAAATGATTTTACTTTTTCACTTTTCATTTCTTTACTTTTCTGTGTGGAATAGAAGTTGAAGAATCGAGCAAAAGAAAAAAATGAATAATAAAATAAATAAGCTGAGTATTTTCAGTGGTCAAGTATTGTCTACCATCTTTCCTTGAGGGTTTCGAATGATTCTAGCCATCGAGTGAAGCCAGATCCGCTTGCTTGTTAGCTAAGCAATTATAGCTTTCTTATCGTATGTACTCGTATAGGATGAGCTTGCCGAGATGAAATGGCGGCGGATTTTTGGTATTATAAGATTTTAGAAAACATTGGGACTAACTAGGCAACATTTTGCAGATATAGACAAAGTAATTCAAAGATAGGTACATAGCGGGACCTAGTATTAACACTGATAAAGTAGATGTGGTTCTATTCAGAAGGAGCTAACAAATTTCAGCCTGGGTCAAACTGGCGTTGAAAGACAGCACTCTTCAGCCTAAATGAAGCATTAATTACAGGGGAATAGTCTTGGACGGTAAGATGTAGTGGAAGACGTATTGAAGCAGGCATCAGCCAGCATATAGTGGCTTCTCTTAAGCAAAAATACCTAAAGCGCTCTCAACTATAACTTTGGATGTTAGTCGACTCAGGACCCTAATTCAGAACCCTCCACAGGGTAGTTCGCACTGCTAACCTCTCAATTTCCTAAGCTAAGAGTTATATTCCTTAAACTAAGGGGTAACGAAGGACGGCTCAGGTCGTATTTAATGTGCGGGACCTAGTCCATTTAGCAGGATTATTGTGCTTTCCCGTGCATTCCAAGTATGCGTTTGCGAAAAGTTCAGCCGATTTAGTGAATGGTTCTAGTGTATTCCAATCATGTGGGCCCCTCTACGGGGAGATGGGGCTGAAAGTCACTTCACAACGTTTCGTCCTTTAATGTGTATACTCTGCACTCAGCAAACCTCACTTTAGCTTGGAGGCGACATTTCAGGGATAGATGCCGCGTTAATATTTTCATTAGAATTATAAGTTCTCTTTGGCTTAATGCAGGAGATTGCTCCATCTGAAAGGTAAGAGGCAGTCAGTGTTGACTGCCTTTCCAGCGGCGCAAGCGTGTTTCAGCTCCTTTCATTTCCTTTGTGTTGATTTTTGGACCTTCTTATGGCATACTAAATTGGCTTAATTGCCGCGTCTGCCAGAAACCTAATGGGTTTTCCTATTAAAGCTATGAGATTGAAAGATGGAGTGTATCTTCCAGCCGCATTACAGGTTTAGTCCGAGTTCTATTCTTCTGTATACTGCCTAGGCATCTGGCTGCTTCATACATTTCCAAATTGATTAATCTGATCTCGACCATGACTTACAGGGCCTTTGTATTAGACTTTCCTTAGAGAAACTGTTCTAAATTTAATTTAAAAAACGGCAAACTACTAAACACTTTCTGATGATTCTCATTTCTTTTCAGCACGTGAACCCATAACACACACAAACAACTACACACAATGAAACGACGAAAGCTTCTGCTCTGTTGGACCATACTACATTCTGGGCTCAGCTTAATCGCCTTTCTCACATTACTGTTGAGCCAAAAAACACAAGCTGCGATTGTGCCACCACCTTGGAGTGATCCGCAAAAGAATCCTTGCGCCAGCATGCCCGGCGGTTGGCAATTACTCTATTGGCCGCCACTTAAACAGTGCTTCAAAATCTTCACTATCGGCTACCCCTGCCCAGAAACCATGGAATTGAGCCCAGCGCCGAATGTGGGTAAAACGAAATCGGCGCGTATAAATGCACCAGCTGCTGAGTGTCGTTGTCCGCCGGGCACAGCGTTGAGTGCGGAGACAAATAAATGTCATGACATATTTAAGCGTGGTCCATGTGAGAAGGGCGCATACTTCGCGCCACTGCCAGAAGAACGTACGGCTGTTAGTAGTGGGCGACGGTATGTAGTTTCTCAATTGTAGAAATGGATATTTAATTTCAAAGTTTTTGAATCATTTTCTCATATAGATCCAGTAATCGCTGGGGCAGCTGTAAATTTGCCAGAGAATGTCCGGTGGGCATGATTTACTGGCCGAAAGATGGTCGGTGCTATGCACAGTACACTAAAGGACCTTGTATCAAGGGTAAGCTGCTGGTTATGAACGAGGATGGACTGGGTGATTGCAAGGTAAATTTAGAGTTTGGGAAGACTTGGAAAATGTATTTTATATTTTCATGCTCTTTTAGTGCAAACCTGAAGGTCAGTTACGTAACTACTACTACGAGCAGGAAGAGACATGTCATGAGCACTACACCAAAGGTCCTTGCACAACGCCGGGTGAACTTTTCCTGCCAGGTGGCCGTTGCGATTGCCATCGGTTTTTGCCACACTACAACGAGGATCACCAAATGTGCTATGAATTGAGTATAAATATCACACTTTTGTTTAAGTTTTGCCATGCAGTCACTAAATATGCACTTCTTGAATTTGCAGACACACCAGGACCCTGTCCGCCTGGGCATATCTTTAATCTACCCGATAATGTTACAGCCGCTAACGATGCGACGGATATACCGCGCGCTCAGTGTCAATGCAAGGACGGTTATGTGCCTTGGACTGATGGCCTCTGCTATCGGCTATACACAAGAGGACCCTGTGGTCCACATGAATTTCTGATTAATGCCACCAGTTGCGTGCGCAATTTCTGCGGCAAAAGTCGTCTCTATTTCCCCGAAGAGAACACCTGCTATCGCATTGGTTCACAAGGACCCTGCTCATTGCATCAGGTGGTCGTATTTGATTTTACTGCACGCCCATCCTTAGATGGCATTTCTTACAATGGTATATGCGGTTGCTCGGGTGTTATCTGGAATCTTGATCAAAAATGTGCCAATATCGATAATGGCGGCACGGAAGATGAGAATACATGCGAATCTACGCCGGGTATGGTTGAGATTAACGGTAATTGTTATAAGTTATATACGCGTGGACCATGTGGACCGGGCCAATGGTTGGAGCCGCTCAAAACACTGACGAGCGCTGTAGAAACGCAACGATTTTTGGATACGAAAGCGAAATGTGTCTGTCGACCAGGCTATACACTTGCCGAGGATGTTGAGGATGATGGGGATAAGAATGCAGAGAGCTTGCCACGCGCACGTATAACACGTTGCAATGCGCCCACAGTGGGCTTAGCGAGGTATTTGAATAAGCAACGTGAAAACTCGAAATTTAATGCAAATTTTAATTTTCCCAATTTTCCATTTTAAAACTAACAAAATATATATATAAGGCAATGAGATTAGTCTCTGTAATATATGTATGTAAATATTAATTTCTTAATTAAATGGCTGTGGATGGCTGTCAACTATCTGCTACAACCATCTGTGTATTTAAGATGAAGATTTATTGGCTCTTCTCCTCCGAAGTTTTGTAAATTCTATCTTTCTTATGTATGTATGCAAATAGATATTTAAGACTTTACACACACTCATAATTGGTTTCTAGTATCTAAGCCAAATATATATGTAGTATATCTGTATGTATATATGTAAATATGTAATTAAATTTTTATATTTTTACAATGCTGCTAATGTACTTTCCACGCTGCATGCCCATCTCTACTCAACTATCATGCTATGCTGTTTTGCCAACCACGGCTATATGTATAATTATTGTGTATATATTTTTACCTGTGCCTGCGTCTACTCCTCCGCATGCCCGCATGTTTGCCTTTATAGTCGTAAAATTTAGTGTTTAATTATATTTCTGTATATAAATTTACCGTTAAAATATTTTTCAATTCTTTTCATATGCTCCTAGATGGTTTTTAGAAATCTTTGGATAACACGGATGAATCAAACATGTTTAAAAATTCATTGTAAATTAAAAAAAAAGCGAAACAATTTATTTAAGTTAGTCAGGAAATTATAATTAATTTGATGAAAAAATAGTAATTTTAAGTAAAAAAAAAAAAAGAATTGTTATTGTGTGTTTGAGATTTCTGTGTGCCATTTGAAATAAAATTTAAGAAAGAAATATGGATTTCAATTTATAGTATGCTTTTAGGCGCAAAAAAAATTTTAAATAAATAGTCTAGATACACACGAACGGTAAAGAACCTTTTCAATCTGGATCTATGTACCACTAGGACTTAACAAAGTAGCTCTAATGCATGAATTCGTCGCAAAGTAACAATTGGGGTTCCTATAAGAGCATATTTGTCTTATATGCCACCCTAGAGAGCTAAGGTTTGTTAATATTAGTAAAGTTCGTCAGTTGTGAGCTCCATTCAACCATTGTACGTGCTTACCACACATAAAAAATAATTTTTAATTGTACATGTATTTTTCGATTTTTCTGAGTCGCACTTACCTCAGCTTTTCTTCCAAGTCTTTAACTTCCTTCTCCAACGCAAAACGCTTCTCTTTACATATTTTTAGCTCAAACTCTAACTGATAGGCGCGTTCCGTTTTAGCATCTAATTGCATCTAAAGGAAAATACAAAAAATTATATATATTTATACTAAAATCTTTCCTCTCAAGCTTTACCAATATTTTATCCTTTTCATTCTCCAACGCGACGTAAGTTTTTTTCAACGCTGTAACTTCATTGCGCAGCTGCGTAGCTTCGCGATTTGTTGTTTCACGATTTGTATCCAATTCATTTAGACGCGTATCTGCTGTTTGTAGCTGCCGTTCGGCTATAGTAAGTCTACTCTGATAATCCTGCAGTGTACGTTCCGTTTGTTCGTTTAATATTCTGCGGAATAAAAAATAATAAAGAATTATTTACTTTTACTACAAGACGCGTGTCAATTTTATACTTTAACTGATTTTGCCGCGTGCGCAATTTGGAATTTTCCTCTTGCAGAGCGAAATTCTGTCGCTTCAATTCATCAATTTCTTCCTTGAGCAATACAATATGTGTTTCGCTTGGTATACGCGCTGAACTCAGTTCACGATTCTCTCGCTCCAACTGTCGTATACGCGTGTTTAGCTCACTAATATGCGCTTGTGATTTCTGTGTTTCCAACGACTGTGTTTGCAACAGTGAAACATGTTTTTCACGCAATGTATCACGTTCACAGCGTACACGCTCCAATTCAGCGCGTGCGCAATCGCGTTCACGCTCCGCACGTAAAACCACAGCCTGCACGCAATCGCTACTAGCAACGCTATGCGCTGACTTAGCTGAATGGTTTGAACGTGCACTGGTAAGCGATGCTTGCGCAAATTGACAACGCTCCATTGGGGTAGTGGCTGTAGCCGCAGTGGCTACAGGGGCAGTGGCTGTATCAACCGTTGGCAGTAAGCGTTCCTGTTGGCGGAGGCAAAGCTCAGCTCGGAGCAAACGAAGTTCATCGTCTTTTGATTTGATTTGAGATTGTAGGAAATCAACTTCCTTAGTAGCATAAGAATTTTTGATACCTTAATTGAATTTCTGAAAAAAAAAATGTATTTAAATAAAATTTACCTTCTCCGAACCCGCTTTGCTTATTAGTCGTAAATATTCCTTTTGGAAAAAATCTCGTTCGGATTTAATTCTTATTTTTTCCTCATCAGTGCGCTGCTCTTTTTGTTGTACATTATCCTGTAGCTCTATATAAATAAAAATTAATTAATTTACCACCAACAACTTCTACTATCAGTCTTTACCCTTATGCATGCCATGAATTTTGCCTTTCAGTTTTGAAACTTTCTTATGTAAACGCTCATTTTCAGTTCTTAATTCCACTTCTATGAAAATTTTTAGGTATTAGTTACTATTTTGTACTACAACTTAGAACTCTATACCTTTTTGCGTGAGCTCATTGATGCGTTCGTTGAGTCGACGTTTATCTGCATTCAACGTCGCTACTGCAACAGAATCGCTATTATCACCTCCACCATCAGCTCTTCGACCTATTTGTGTTCTATTATCCCCTGCTCCCTCTTGTTTAATGCGCAACTTTTTCAACTCGTTTTGCAAAACTTCTAATTCGTGTTCTCGTTGCGCTATTTCTGTATTCGCTTGCGTTTCAACTGCCATGGCGGCTTCTTTCAATTCATCAAGATCCCTTTGGAGTTGCTTATTACGATTTTCCAAGGAGAGAGCACGTTGCATTGCCTCGTGCATTTGTTCCTGATATTCCCGCACCTTAGTTAAATTTTCTGATTTTTCGCGCTGCAAAAGTTCAATATCTTCGGACAAACCACGCACGTCCTTGAAACAGCAATCCTTTGCAAGAGCAGCAGGTGGACGCCCACCTGATAAGAGTTCATTGAGTCGGCGTATCTCACGATCACGGGATTCAATCTGACAATTTTTATACACAAAAAAAAAAGTATTTCTTCATGTTTTCAAGATGGTTAAAATATTCAGAGATGAGTAATAGGGGAGTTGAAGCTGGCTTCAATTAACGAGCACTAGAGATACCCAGATGAGCCGAAATATAGAATTTCTATTCAATTTCTATATTTCGACTGAGGGGTAGATCCCAATAATGGGCAGCCCTTTTTTCTTATTCTCATACTTAAACGTCTCCTCACACAGCTCTAGGAGCAATCAGGAGACCTAAAAACAATGTAGCAGCAGATCATGGAAAATTATTCTAAGGTGTATCTTAAGTACATACACACCTTTCTCTTATAGAACTCTAACTGTTCCGTTAAATCCTTTACTTTATCCTCCAATCTATCTATTTCATTTCTTAAAGACGCCCCATGTTGTTTGTCAGCCAGAAAATTTGGTTCATTACTTGTTTGAGACCGTGTAGTTTGCGTATGACATTTAGTGCAACGTAAATTGCTGCCATTATCCATGAGAGGAGGAATGCGTTCGCCTGAACGTACTGTGGTAATAAACGGTTTTTTTGCTGCGATAAAAAGTTAACTTAAAATAAATAAAACTAATATAAAAACAAGTATGTACATACCTTTATCTCTCACATTTTTCATATTTTGCGCTGTTGCTGTACTCTGTTGTTTAGCTACTAGAGATGAGAGTTGCTGCTGCAACTGCTGGCAGTGTTCCTCCAGATGGATCTTATCCGTAACTAAGTTACGGATTTTCTGGCTTAGTTCTAGAACATATGTGTATAAAAATAAGTAGACAATTCGTAAAAATATATATATACGCATACTGTCCTAAAAACACTTACCAAATATACGCTGCTCATAATCTTCGCGCTCCTTTAAATTTTGCTGATGTAGCTGATTGCACTCAGCTAAAAGGCGTGAATTATCACACTTGTATGGTTCGACACCCAATTCCCAACAAGACTTTTCCTACGAAATCAAAAAAGTCTTATGCATATGTTTGGCACAATGAAAAAAGCTTGGTTGGCCATGACAACGGAATGAGGTCAGTAATACAACGCCGTGTATTATTGAGGAAGGAATTTCAATTGGAATTTTTATTAATATAGAAAGCCTTCCCATACTATACCTCTAATAAATCGACAATTTTTTTCTTCGCATCTCGGAGACTTTCTGTTGATTTGACCAAATCCTCGAATAGTGCTGCAACCAATGGTATACCAGCCAATGGCAAAGTTTGTGTATAACCCAACACATCAAGTTTTTGTCGCAGATTATTAAAAACTCCATCACTGGCGCTCATATCGTCAAAAATTTTAAATTTCCACACAAACTATACTATTTTGTTTTTCAAATTGCAGCCGACAAAATCAAATATAGCGCGTACAGCTGCAACTGACAGCTGTATTCAAACCATTGTGAATGGGCAATGAGAAATTAAATTGAAGAATATGGAAATGTATTCATTTTAAATGAAAAAAATATCATTATCATATTAGTAAATTAAATTTATTAAATCCAATATTCATGTAGTTCTATTGAACTTTTCACAGTTGGCGAAGTCAATAAACTTTTTTTTCGTTTATTAGCAATTGTGAATTGCTATAACGAAAAGAAGAAGTGTATTATTTTCTTACAAAATTACATTAAAAATTCTACTGTAGTGGCCGGTTTTGCAAATGTTTATTGTTTAGCCGGCAAACTTGAGTCTAATTCCAAGTGAAGTAAAAATCAAATTATTATTTGTTAACATGTCAGATGCCAAAGCTGGTCGTTCTGGACCCACAACATCTACTTATGCGCTAATTCCAAAACCAGCCAATTTGCAATGTATGGATCTGCAAGAATATCTACGGACAAGAACGCCAGAAACATTGGAGAAATTGTATAATTATCCAACTATTTGTTTGGCTGTCTATAGAGAATTGCCTGAAATTGCACGCCAATTCGTAATACGTATACTTTTTGTAGAGCAACCAGTACCTCAAGCGGTGGTCGCGTCATGGGGCTCGCAACACTATGCCAAGTATGTTGTACTCTGAATACCCAAGCAAAGTATTAAGACAAATATTTTTCTTTTCAGAGAACAAGCTGCTTCCGCCTCATGTCTAACAGAACTCAACGTATGGCGCGTTACTGCCATACCTGGCGGCTTATCAGCTTGGGAGCTTTGCTCAACATTTAAAAAGAACTTAAAAATAGCTTTACTAGGTGGTGGTAAACCATGGTCCATGTCTCATACGTTGGAAAAAGATTCGAAACCACGAGATATCGCTTTTCTTGATACATATGCTATGGCTCGGTGGCGATGCGTATTGCACTACATGGTAGGCACTGGAAGCTCAAATAAAACACAAGATAGTGAAGGTATTAGTCCAGATGCAGTGCGCATTTTACTGCATGCTAATCTCATGAAACGTGACGAACGCGACGGGATTACTATAACACGGCAAGGATTTCAGTTTCTACTGCTCGACACACAATCACAGGTATGGCATTTCATGCTACAGTATCTGGACACCTGCGAAGAACGTGGTCTGTCGTTACCCGATTGCCTCTCAATGTTGTTCCAACTGAGTTTTTCCACCTTGGGACGGGACTATAGCTCCGAAGGCATGAGTGCAAAAATGTTGACATTTTTACAACACTTACGTGAATTTGGGCTCGTATTTCAACGTAAACGTAAAGAAGGCCGTTTTTATCCCACTCGGTTGGCGTTGAACGTTACAAACAAGCATGCCACCGTGCCAGCCATTATTAATGAAGAAGATAAGGTCCAGGAGAGTGGTTATATTGTGGTGGAAACAAATTACCGTGTATACGCCTACACAGACTCGCCGCTGCAGGTTGCAGTGTTGGGTTTATTTACCGAATTACTATACCGTTTTCCTAACTTAGTGGTCGGTGTACTAACACGAGACTCTGTGCGTCAAGCTCTACGAGGTGGCATAACTGCAGAACAAATAGTAAGCTATTTAGAACAATATGCGCATCCGAATATGAAATTGACTGAGTCGGCAATCAAATCAAAATCACCACTACCTCCAACTGTCGTCGATCAAATTAAACTTTGGGAACTAGAGCGTAATCGTTTTATCTACACTGAGGGTGTGGTCTACAATCAATTCTTGTCACAAGCTGACTTTGTGACGCTACGTGATTATGCACAATCTATCAATGTGCTGGTACACATGAACGAACGTACGCGTACTATGGTCGTGACTAAAAATGGGCATGATGATGTGAAACGATTCTGGAAACGCTACTCAAAGGGTGGTGGTTAAATGGTTGCTGTAGGTGTAGCATTATTTTCAAATCAAGTTACTTATCTTAAAGGTGTTTTTTTTTATAATTAATTAAAAAATATCACTCACACCGTTTGTATGTATGTATAGTAAATAATCTTTAATAAAAGTACGTACATGTGTGCTTAATATTACAAATGCTGCTCGTTCTGGCTTTCGTTTAGCTAATTTTTTAAGATTAAAAACTTAAAGCATTTTTAGACAAATACCACCGAATACAGAGTTTGCTAATTGTACATGCACAATAAATTGTTAACACTACAAAAACAAACAAAATTCCAAATAGTAACAAATTAAATCTTGAGACGGACCTTTACGCGTAAAAAATGACTAAAAAAAAAAATTGTTGAAAAACACCCAAAACCTGCGCATCTAAAACATGATCGGCCGTTGCGGCATACAGAGATTGTAATAACTTTTTTTATCCCAGAAATCTCCGCCTTTCCAACCGCACCAACCTTTTGCCTGAATCGTATGTAAGTCATCACCGCCTGTATAATGGGGGTCCAATATCAAAAACTTGACTTTCCCGGTTTGTGAGCAGTAGTCGATGCCGATTATGGTATGTGCCAAAACACCACCACCAATCATTATCGGTGTGCCTTGTGTCTGGAAATGCATAGCCAAATCGGAAGCAAGTGTAGCCACATCGGCACCTGATGTGACATGTTGTATTCTGGAGTCAACGTTAAGAAATCCTTGAAGGCACATGCTGACCTCTGTCGAACCAATCCATTGGGAGGAGCCCACAAAATTGGGCTGCTTATCACCAATACGTACTAAATATTGCTGAATTTCACGATGTGTTGGCACTGGTTTCTCTGTATAGCCCTGTAGCATAAACCACGAGCAAATCGTTTGCAACGATCGATACGCACAGCCCCAACCTTTGTCCTGCATTTGCTGTTGTAGATAATGATAGTAATAGTAATTTCCCTGAAGAAGATATTGCTTGCCATCGGTAATGCCACTAGGACGCAAGCCTACATGTGTGTTCACCAATGGTATGTTGGTATCCAGTTCATTCCGGAATAGACAACGGTTAGCACGCCGGAAATATGGGCGTATTACCGTCAAACCAAAATGGCGATGAAGTTTTTTACGTTTATCCTGCACACTGCTTTCGTCGTCAGAAACGCCGTCTAAGTAAGAGCATGATAGGAAGTGTCCAAACTCCTAAAAGGTAATTATAGTATTTACATTAAAATATTTAACTTTTTAATAGCATTTTATACCTGCGGAAAGAAGTGATAGCCAGTAGGCCTAAGAAGTTGTGGTGCGTCTGCTGAGGTTTCCAAGTGTTCCACCATGCTTTGTTCGAATAGCCGCAGCGAGCGGCATATGCTCTCAATAAGTATATCATATAAACGACTTACTTTTGTGTTTTTGCAGAGCATAGCCATTGCTTCCACTTCCAATGGCATGCACACTTTTCCTTCCTCGCGTTTCACTGACATAGAAACTGCTGGCGGCGGTACTTCCTTACCTGCACTATCCGCCACCGTTCGATCAAGTGTTTTACACCGTAGCACATTTATGCTTAGTATGTCGTAGGCGCAACCCAATGCCCCGAATACGCTCGCTAATGACACGCTCGTACTTTGCACTTTTTTCTTGCTGCCTTTTTCCATATATTCAAACTTTTCATCAGCGCTACTAATAGCTTTACTAACAGCATTTAAGACATCACTAATCAACGATTCATTTGTAATGCCTTTCCCTTGGGCGCCTGAGCTAGTCAGATAAATTTTAGTAGACTCCAAACAAAATGCTAAGCTGCCTCCTGAGAGAACTTTTCGTAATGCATGCATTTGCTTACGTACAGCCTAAAAAGGATTTAATTTACATAAAATTAAAGTAAATATCTCAGAACTACCTCCACATTTTGGTGTGTATGAAATTCCAGGCTACATTTCAGTCGTGTAAAGCAAAAATCATGATACAACTGCTCTGCTTCCATCACTTCATAAGGCACCTCTTCCAATTTACTATGCATAAAAACAGATGCACGCAATCCCACAAGTGTACCGAGCTCGCACTGCAATAATATGGGGTTGTCTGTAATATCTACGTCTTTTAAAATCTCACTTAAATGCGCTTCAGCATCGGTGCAATCTCCAAATTTCACCAGCCCACACAAGTCCAATTCTGCAGGAAATTTGAATTGAATTTGTTTATAATTCAGATGCCCAATGGTGGATTCGACATTGAATCCCATAAGTAACAATGTGCCTTCGCCATAGAGCACACCAAAGAGACAACCACTGCACTGCTGCTTGATTCGCTCCAGACGCTGAAGTAATTAATTAAATTTGATGTACATACAAACATGTTAAGGCTTTTCCGAAGGTTTTATGGGTAGATTAAATAACTCACCTTCAAAAGCAAAACAGATATTTTAAGTTTGGGCAGCATTTGGCTGATTTTTTGCACTATCCCCGGAAAAATATACAATTTACAGGTACAAAATCGTATGTGTTGGCAAATTTAGGCCGTAAATTGTAGGGCAGTGAGAAGATTGAAAATAAGAAGACTGGGTTTGGATGACAGTATTTGGCTGAGTTGGCCAGAGTGCTGCCAAGCCAATTTGCGGTGTTGTCACAACAAAACTGATAAAGATGTCTTAAAGAAAACTTGTTATACATAAATGAACAAATAAATAAAAACATACAAGTATATAAAGAATACTAACCCATAATTAATATATAAATAACAAAAAAATATATGTTACTATAGTATGAGAATAAATTAATAATAAAGAAAATAATTCCAAAACCAATTTTGCAGTATTTTACTAATATTAGGAAAGCAACCCTGCTCTCAACATAATACGACAGCTGATAATTTTGTGCTTTGTTTCCTAAATTGTTTTCTGACTCACTTTTCATTGAATTTTTAATTAAAAATATTGTCTAGATATTTAGGAGAAACTGTTAGATTATATCAAAAAAAGCAATCAAATAACAAAGCAACAAGAAACATTATTTACTTAAAGAGGAGGTCTTGCGGTGCAGTGAAAGCGTAGAGAAAGGGTTGAGAAAGGTTGATACCAATCACTGCATATATCGGGATCGATTTTAGCAGAAAATGATTTTTGGCAAATAGGACTGGAAAACATAAAAAATATCAAAAATGCAGTATTACAAAGAAAAACTTTCAGTAGCGGTAATCCTGCTCACTTTTATAGCATTGGGCGGTTGCAGTGATATTACACCGCAAGTATTTAGCGATGTAAAGGAAGGTATCGTAGCAGCCTTTGGCGATTTCAATTCGGATGAGCTGACAGATGTTTTTATCATAAGAGATGAAATGAGCAGGCTGGAGATACTCTATGGTAATATTTTAGTTTTGTATAAATATATATTTTTCCCATGGGCTGAAAATTTTGTATGTTTATTTTTTAAGGTGCCTATACAGAGCCCCTTCTGCGACATGGTCCTTTCTGTACATTCGATGACCATGAAATCACTAGTGTAGTACCAGGTGATTTCGACGGTGATGCTTTAATGGATGTGCTTGTTACACTTCGTCCTAAACGTAATGCTGACGAAAATAAATATAATATTCACGTCAATTGGGGTGGTCCAGATGGCATAAACTGCTCTGATGTTAAAACTCCACTCCTAATCACCAAAGGCGAACCTTTGGCATTAGATTTTAATCGTGATATGATAATCGATCTATTCGGACTTGATGAAAATGGACAACGTGCCTTTTGGATTTTTCAAACTCTACGAAAAGCACCAGAAAAACGTATTCAAGCTCCGCCTGGTGGCTCAGAAGCTTCTGTCGACACAATACGTATACCCAACGCAAACGCTTATTTAGATTTTAATGGCGATTTTACCGCCGATCTAATTGTACAAACTGACAAAAATTATGAAGTTTGGTATGGTAGAACAGAGGGGAAAGAAGATTTTAGTTATAATCATAGCATAGACTTGTCAGTCATTGGTTCGCCTGATTACACTATAGGCCAAGCAGTATACGCCGACTTTGAATTGGAGGGTGTCGAGAATATAATACTGCCAGTTTGCTTCCGTAAAGATTGTTCCAATTCAACTGTCCTGGTGTACGACGGTAAAAGTTTTCGCGACGTACATGTAAATTTCAAGGATCCACAAGGTGTATTATGGGGATTTGTTCATCCAATTGAAACGGATGTTTATTTAAAAACCATCACAGCACGTAGCGGCGACTTTAATATGGATGGTTATCCCGATTTAATATTAACGTTGCAAACGATTAGCGGACCGAAACGTATGCAAACTTTCCTTCTAGAGAATGTGCCATGTAAAATGTGCAACAAACCGTTGAAGCGAACTTTCGAAGTGAAATGGAATGGTCTTAGTCCAATGGGTAATGAAACTGTCGCTGGAGCATTTTACGATTTCTATCAAGATGGTTTGTAAAATTTGAAGAGCTTGAATTTAAATATTTTAATAAAATTTATTTTCCAGGTGTACTCGATGTTATACTAATCGAAAAAACCAAACAGGGCAAATATCGCCCACTGGCATTCCGCAATACACTCGATTATGACGCAAATTTTGTTAAAGTCATTGTACTTACAGGTCTGATCAATAATAAAAATCCGACGCAAACGACACCTCTGGGAAGAAAGCGTCGCACCTATGGTACAAATTTACCCGGCCCACGCATCACGTACTCGACAACCACACAGGAGGGCGATCAACAACAAGGCTCAAGCGTGCAACTCCCACAGTCCGCTTATTTTGCACTGCAATTGCCTTACACCATTTTCGGTTTGGGACGCACACCCAATTTCGTGGACTCGCTTACCGTTGGTTTGGGTAGCAAATCACGTACTTGGACACAAGTAATACCGAATTCGCAGATAATTGTTGTGCCAAAACCAGTGAGTGAACCACAGCACTGGAAGGCACAACTTTTCGTTACACCGAGTAAATTAATTTTGATGAGTGTCGTGGCTTTGGGTGGTACGTGCTTGGTAATTGTGCTCATTATACTCGTATTGTATATCAAGGAAAAGCGCGAGGATAAACAGGAAAAGCTACAAGAAGCTCATCGTTTCCATTTTGATGCAATGTAAAATAATTGCGGCTGAAAATATTGTATAACGAAAAATTTTTGAAAACTTTAGTTTTAGTTGCGATAATTAATCTCTCACACTGTACTGTTGATATTTTGTTTGAATTTTTTTTACATCGTTTTTAAGTGTATTGGCTAAAATATTTTAAATTTGTATCCAAAAAATATACCAGACATGCGGAATATTAATGCAATAAAGTAATAAATAACACCATAAAATAAAATTTTATTATTTTGTAATTTTCACGGCCAGCCAGTAAATATTGAAAACGATGTCAATAGTTTTTCTAATTAAATTTTTACTAAAATTAATTTTAAATTGGGAAGTATTGATAAATGCCTAAATCATCAAATTGGTAGTAGAATACTTTTTCTTCTACAGCACTGTTTGCATACAGTGCTACCCAATTAAAATATTTCATTTATATGGCAGCACTGTCGTCTCCATGTCTGAGTTTGGCAAAGTGAAATCGCCGAAAAAAATCATTGTTCATTGCTCATAAGAAAAAACAGTAACTTCTTCTGGTTAAAAAGATAATTTTCATAAAAAAGGAATATTTCAAAAGTTATTTTAAACATAGTTCAGCATTAAACTTTTGTGGGGTTAAGATTGGTGACGAAAAAGTATGTAAAATTTCTTTTGTAAAACTCGATTGAACTCCAGGCAAAGCGTGTGGAAAGAAACAGAGAATTCTTCCAGATTGCAATTTATGTGCGTGTGTAGTGTTGATTGTTTTTTCTTTATTTTTTTTTATTGTTGTTTAAGGCCGTTTTTTCACCGCTGCCGTTAGTAGAGTATGCTTTTTTATGGAAAGAAACCAAATTAAATCGATGTACCTCAAAAATCGTGATAAAATAAATTTGTGTACTAAACTCCCCATGTTTCGAGAGTTTGTTCTTGCTTTAGATTTTCTTTTTAACTGACCTCAGTAACTGCGACGACGACGCTACATGTTCACCTTGACGTATTACCGATTACGGCTAATAAACGATAGGCGCTGCGGTGCGATGACCCTCAAATTGCGTTTATTAATATAAACCAAATGAATATTTTAATTTGAATTTTTTCTCATTTATCTCTTGCAGGAAAATATTTCTTTGGTTTTTTGTCATTGACACAAAAACTTACGAAATAGTGAAAATTTAACAAACTGCCCCAAATGTCCGCAAACACCGCGTCTACATCGAATCAGACGGGATCATCAAATACCACAACAATGACTACTTCGCATGGGTTAAATGCTGCTAGCACTAGTTCCCCCAGTAGACCAGCGGTACGTGCACTTGCTCTCGAATACAAGTCTCTGCAAGAAGAACCAGTCGAGGGTTTTCGTGTGAAATTGCTTAATGAAGATAATCTCTTTGAATGGGAAGTAGCTATATTTGGGCCGCCCGATACACTATATCAAGGTGGTTACTTTAAGGCGCACATGAAATTTCCACAAGATTATCCGTATTCACCGCCATCTATACGCTTTCTGACTAAAGTATGGCACCCAAATGTTTATGAGAATGGTGACTTGTGTATTTCCATATTACATCCACCGGTTGATGATCCACAAAGTGGTGAATTGCCTTGTGAAAGATGGAATCCAACACAAAATGTGCGTACCATATTGTTGTCAGTTATATCGCTACTAAATGAACCGAACACATACTCGCCAGCCAACGTGGACGCATCCGTTATGTACCGGAGGTGGCGTGAATCGCAGGTAATTTGATTTTCATTAAATACTGAGTATTTTGATTATAATTACATGAGGAATTATGAGCGAAATTTCAACTTCGGAAACAGTTGACTTTATATTTTCTAACACAAATTTTTATTTATTCATTTTTTTTTTTTGCTTTAAGGGTAAGGATAATGAGTATCCCAGCATTATACGTAAACAAGCGCAGGCAGCCAATGCGGATGCAATTAAAGAAGGTATTGTTGTGCCGATGACGCTTGAGGACTATTGTTTAAAGCCGACACGTAAAGCGTCTACAGAACCAACGTTAGACACGAATTTCTTTGACGACGATTACGATCTCGAAACTGAAGATGATTTACCAACAGACGACGACGATGATGATGATGTAGATGATGAAGACTACGATATCGATGAAGACAATACAAATGCGAAACGTAAAGATAATGGTACGGCAGACGAGTCAGCTGATGATAGCGGTAAAGGTGAGACATCGTAATTTCACACCAATATTCACACGTGGAAAGAAGAAAAGATGAGGAATGATAATATTTTGTGCGGTATTTGGCGTTTTTATGGTGCAAGGCATGGCTGACAGTTTTGTAGTCGCAGACGAAAATATAGAAGTTTGAAAGTATTTTGATTAAAGAAAAAAGAGGTCGTCGAAAAAAATGCATTGCAGCGCAAATGTGGAAACAAAATTCAGGAACTATTTAGCACTTAACTAGTGTAAATATGAAAAAATTAAAAATCGTAAAATATTAAAAAAAAAAATTTACTTATGGCTAACAATTTAGTGATTCAAATAATTAAAAAAAAAAAACGAATTGACTTTTTAAAAAAAGCAATAATTAAAAATTACCGTGATTATTTTTTTTGTAAATGAAATAATAATAATAAATAAACAGAAATAAATATAAAAATAAATAAACTAAATAACAGTGTGCATATTAGTTGTACAAGATATTGTTTAGAAACAATTAGTAAATAAGGGTTTTTCTAAGAAAGTAACAATAATAATATCAACAAACTGTAAAATTTACCAATATACATATTTGAGAAGCATAATAACAAAGATTAAAGCCAAATAATTGAAATAATTATATAAAACAGAAGAAATAGAAACAAATGCCATACACACATAACGCTACATTAAAATATATTAAAAAAAAATAAATTAAACTGTTTACTGCTTTGCGTTTTGAACATCATATCATATTAAATTAACAGTAATGTTACAAAGCTGATATGTACTTTGTTAAACTGGAAATTAATGAAACAACACCATTTTAAATGTAAAAACAAAATAAATTCACACTAGTTAATTCACTGCTTTCAACGCACTTCTAAATGACATGCTGACTACTTAACACCTTTACGCAGGTACACTCAACACGTTTCTACGGAAGGGTGTTAATTCACATGCGGGAGTTAACTCTTGATTTTCAATTCAATAATTGTGAGTTAACTTCTGGTTGACTGTTAGCACTCTACCGTAAAGAACAGCTTTTAAACGTAATATATTTGTCCACAATCTATCGCAATCAAACATTGACACACATGCACATACAACTATCTTCCTGAAATATGAATCATAAGGCATTTTTAACTTTTTTAACGCATACACGAATAGGTGTTATGCTTATGCAATTCAGTTTTTAAAACAGTTGCAATTAAAAATTTCATTCTATTTTTCTATGTAATGTATAATTTGCTCGTCTGTATCATATAAATATATGTTAACACATTCTAATTTAATTTCCCCACAGCAATACATATTTTGTATTTAAGTATGCTAATATATATATATGTATATATATCATATATGTATGTATGTACATATATTCATACACACTTAGTTTTTGTTTTAGTGAACTACATATACACATACATATACAAATATATATTTTTTACTCATATACACACATACGTAATTATCTGGAATTTTTATGTTCTGAAGATATTGAAATTATTTTAAAAAAAAATGCATGTTTTCTTATGCACTACCCAACGAATTATTTATGTATGAATTAATGAGCTTCGTCTGTATGTAAATTGCTTAAGTACGCTATTTTAATGGCAACCACATAATATAGTTTGTTTTAAACAAAAACATAAAAATAATTCGGGGTTTAAAACTTTACAGGTTGATGTTTGGAAATTATAAGCACAGAATAAACTGAAAATTGGCTCAAGACTAAAATGAAAAAAAAAAAATTAAAGTCGATATATTAGAGTAATAACAATTAATAAAAAAACTTAAATATGATACAAATACATTTAAGTCAATAAAAAATTTATACCAAAACAAAAATACAATTTTAATACATGCACAAAATTTACGAAAAGTTACAAAAATATGCTAAGCTTTTAATATTGGAAAAAAATAAAAATAAAACATATTTTTTTATTGATGACAAAATTATTGACAACAAAAATTTTATTTTAAGTTTATGTTTCAAAAAAAAAAAAAAATAATTAAAAAAAACTAACAAACCTTGTCAAAAAATTATTTGATTATAAACATTATTTTTAACTAATTTCTTAATTTTTTTTTTTCGAGAAAATGTAAACTTCACAAAATATTAAATCGAATGAAAATATATATTACTTGTGCTTATAATTTTCGAAACTGGCGCATATAATTAAAGAATTAAAAATTATATCAAACAAAAATCGTTTAAATCAATGCGTTCTTAACGCCAATAAAAAATATCCACTAAATGCTACTTAATGTGAAAGTAATATAAAAACATTCACTAAAAAAATTATCTGGAAAATATTCAACCATAAGATTGAGTTTATAATTACTGTCAATTCATTTATGTATGTATACACAACTGCATGCTAAAGTTTTTAAACTATAAAATTAAAAAAAAAAAAAGATATCACGCTTGCGAGAATTCAAAAGACGTCGGTTGAGCAACGATTCTATTGCTTGGAAGATTATATGCTGTGAAGAAATAGGAACACATGGAAATATGTATTTAAATTAAAAATTATAATTAAACTGTAAAAAATACATGCATATACTAAATATAATAAATGGAAACTTATGCCAATATGTATTGAAACTTTTTTCCTGAATTCCTACACGAAACTTTTATAACTTAGTAATAGAATTCCGCTCCATGCTAAAAAAAATTAAATAAAAACCACAAGCCTAATATGGAATATGTAGTAACTATAACTAGTAATATACATAGTAAGTGAAGAGGAGCTCATCAGGAGAAATAATTAAAACGATGAACATACATACGTATACTATAAGAACTTATGTACGCTATAAAAATATAAAATAAAACTTCAAATGATATTAAAAGTATAAAGGTGTTGCTTGTTTATTTAATAGAATTTTTCAGCCAATCCTTAAATATATATATATATGAATATGCCATATACTACGTTCGTTTCATTATTGCATACTGTTTGAAGAGCTCTTGGATTTTAGTGGACCTTTGCAATAAGGTTATTTGACGGCTGAAAGTCTCTTCCCATTTACCTGTGACTAATTCTTAATGTATGTACCTTCAAATATCTTTCAAATATTTTTTTTTGTGAATTATTTGAATTATCTTTAGTTTTGTAAATTAACAGCTGTTACACAATGAACACATATCAAGCATCAGCTGATTTGACGTTGCCATATTTTAACCTCAAATTTCGCATTAACAATGAGTGTTCACAAAATCTATCTTCAATCTCCTGTGAGAGTTGCCTTAAATTAAGAGGTCAATGAGATTTTTCGATAATAATAACAAAAAACCACAATCACAGCATATTTAGAAATGTAACATCTTTTCAAATTTAGCGCACCCTAATATGCGTTTCTTCTTATTGGCATCATTTTCCTGTTCGTTTTTATCTACCAAAATTATCAGTTTTTGTTTTGATTCTCAATCGCATTTTTGCAAATCTTCCGCACACTATTCGTAAATATTTGTTTCCTCAATAGACATTTTCCTTTATTGTTATTTTCGCATTTCGATGTCAACTTACATTTTACTTTACTGCTACTCCGCCTATGAATGTTAGGGAAGAAGTAGAGTAGATAAAATTTTCACTTTTCGTGAAAATTGTAGAAAACTCAAATAAATTTGAAATTTCAAATATTGAACTTTTCAGTAGAGTAAAAATTTTCGAATTTAACCTTGTAAAAGCAAGGTTTTGCAACGACTCTCATTCATTTGCTGTTGTTGTGCGAAACGGGAGCAGACATTGATTGGTTTTAGTGCGGCTGGAAAACATACAATCGATTCTTACAGCGTCTGGCAGACAACAAAGGCCTAACATTCTTGTGTGGTTTGCTCGATCTGCATTTTAAACTTTTTCTTGAAAATTCCAAAAATATTACGCTAAAAGCCCTTCAGTTTTGTTCTCTAAATCAAAATAAATGGCTACTGGCGGTGGCGGTGCTGTTGGTTTAAATGGTGTAGGTAGCGGCGGCACCGGTTCCAATGCAATCAATTTGCAAGCGCTTCAAACATTCCATCAACGTTGCGGGCGTCGCATAACTCTCTCGAACGGCAATCGTACGGCGGCACGTTCTATACGAGACTTCAGTCATGCGTTGGTATTTAGTGCAGAACCTCTGACAGACGATGTACTCTTTGAGGTGGTGATTGAGAAGAAGGTGTGTATGAAAGTGTGAATTTTTCAGTATTCCAATAAGAATCTTGTGAACTTTTGTATCCCGTTAGAATCACGCCTGGGGCGGTAGTATTGAGATTGGTGTAACAGCCGAACCTCCAGATAAGTTGGAATTACCTTCTTGCGCTACCGCCATGCGAAATGGTACATGGGTTATGTCGGGCATTGATGTGCGCAAAGATGGCGTGTGTCTTATAGAATTTTACGGCACCGATTTGGAATCCCTAGGTGAACGCGATCGTGTGGGCGTGATGCGCACATCGCACAACGAACTAGTATTCTTTGTAAATGGTGAGTCGCAAGGTGTCGCGGCACGTAATATGCCCAAAACATTATGGGCGTTGGTTGATTTATACGGACGCTGTGTGCAGGTATCACTTTGGCCTACAGACTTTGGCGGTTCAGGGGTAAGAAAGACGTCTGAAAATGAAAAAAAAAATATATTTAATAAAAAAAAATTTGTTTTAACACACCTCTGCAGGATTACGCCGATGGCTCACTGCAACAAGCACAGCCAATAGTACAGAATATCGACGTGCCGATGGGTGTTGATGTGACGGTAGCCTCAGCTGCATCGCCGACAACAAATAACACTTGCGCTGTTGTAAATCACAACGGCGGCGGCTTGGTAACCGCCAATGCCGAAATTAGTGCCGCTTTGTCGAATTTATGTAGCTCAAGCGTGCAAGGAATTTCAGCGATTCCACAAACGTGTTTCGACAGGACATTGTCGGTATCAGCTTCAACTGCAGCTGTCCTTGCCTTACAACCAAACTTGGGTGATTTTTATGACATGGATAGATTGCGTTTTCACACACGTTGCGGTTCGTTGGTAAAGCTGTCACCGCATTGTCGTTGCGCTGAGCGACGTCGTCCATTAGATGAGTTTAATAATGGTGTAGTCATGACGCATCGTCCACTTAAGGATAATGAGTTATTCGAGATACGTATTGATAAGTTGGTTGACAAATGGTCGGGCTCAATAGAGGTGGGTGTAACCACACACAATCCGTCAGTGCTACATTTTCCAGCCACTATGACCAACATGCGCAGCGGCACTATAATGATGTCTGGCTGTGGTATACTGACAAATGGCAAGGGGACGCGCCGGCAGTACGGGGAATTCAATTTGGATGAGCTGCGTGAAGGTAAGCGATCTTCCTAAACCCTGGCAACTATGATTTTTAACAACTTTCGCTACTAACAGGTGATCGAGTGGGCATGATGCGCAAGTCTAATGGTAGTCTTCATTACTATATAAATGGTCAAGATCAAGGTGTCGCTGCAACTCGTGTCGCTCAAACACTTTGGGGTGTTATAGATCTCTACGGCATGACTATTAAGGTCACCATTGTAGATCCTGATGATCGTGAGCAACAAAATTTAGTCACCCGACGCAATAATATCATATCAGCTAGCACATCCGGTGTTAACTCTAGCGCTTCCACTATCAATAACGCTAGTAGCGCTACAAATGCTCTTATCATTGGGAATACGGCTACACCGACGCCTATGCTGAGCTTACAAAGTCCCGAAGGTGACACCAATTCGAGGGTGGTTGCTGCTGCTGCGATGGGCGATGCAGGACTTTCTGGTGGAAACACCCAGCGCAATGAAGATCGTTTGACATTCCATCCGACGTGTGGCTCACATGCGACCGTTACGCTTAGCGGACGTACAGCGCTGAGGCCAAAGTTAGTTTGAAAAAAATATATTGGAAAGGGATTCAAAATACATTTTTTATTCTATAAATAATCCTTTTTTTGCTCGTATTTTTAGTGCCTCCGATGATTTCAACAACGGTGTCGTGCTCACGCGCCGTCCGTTACGTCCCAATGAACTGTTTCAAGTACGTCTCGAACGCGTGGTTACCAAGTGGGCTGGATCTGTAGAAATGGGTGTGACTACGCATAGTGCGGAAGAACTAGATTTTCCATTTACTATGACCAATGTTCGGTAGATTTCGCTTTAACGTATATTTTGTGTAAAAATTTGTATTTTTCAATTCAAATTTTCCATTTCAACCACAGCTCTGGCACTTGGATGATGACTGGCAATGGTGTGATGCATAATGGGATTACCGTAATTGAGCAATACGGTCAAAATTTGGATCGCCTTCAAGTGGGTGACCGAGTAGGCGTCGTGCGCAAAGATGACGGCACGCTACATTTCTGGGTAAACGGAGTGGATCAAGGTGCGGCCGCGACTGGTGTGCCGGAAAAAGTTTACGGTGTTATCGATTTATATGGGCAGGCAGCACAGGCGAGTATAGTTGACACATCGGAATGCGCCAGTCCAGATACTGGAAATTCCACAATCTCCAATACAACATTATATAGTGAGCCACCATTGCGCTTCCATACCATACATGGTGAGTTGATGAAAACTTTTATGAACCTTTGGTTTGCTTCGATAAATACCTTTTTTTTTTATAGGCAAAAACGCCGGCATCTCAAATGGCGGTCTCACTGCTTCCCGTCCCAACTCGTTAGCCGAATTCAATGATGCGATCGTGTTTAGCAATCGGCCGCTACGCAACCGTGAACTCTTCGAGGTAGTGCTTGAATCCATGGTACGCCACTGGTCGGGCAATATAGAGATCGGCGTGACAGGTACAAGGCCCGAAGATATACAACTTGCCGCCAACGCCACGGACTTGGATGCCAACGATATGATCATACTTTGTGGTTCTATGATATTTCAGAATCGTAAAACTATACGCTCCAATACGACCGTCGATTTGGATACCTTAAGTGCGGGTACGCGCGTTGGCGTAATGCGTAATGGCGATTATGTGCACTTTTTCATAGATGGTGTCGATCAGGGGCCCGCTTGTGAATGTCGCATGCCGAGTGTGTGGGCTGTAATTGATTTATATGGACAGTGTGCACAAGTAACGCTTACACAAGTACAACCGGATATACGTGCGCCATATGCGACTAGTGAGAATTCGCAGAGCTGTCAAGCGACATCGGTTATACAACCGGCCACGTCGGAGATGAAGCATCGTTGGACTTGTATTTCGGGCAATGTGACATTATCACAAAGTTGGACCGTGGCATCACGTAATGCCGGTGCTTCGGCGGCGCTTTCACGTTGTGTGGTCTTTTCGGAGCATCCGTTAAGTGTCGGCTCGCCGTTCGAGATCAAAGTCATCTCTCACAACCCATTATTTGCAGGTTAGTTCGATACGTTTTCAATTCGCCTAAAATTTTAGAAATTTCTGTCTTTATGCGCTCACGCAGGTTGTCTCAGTATTGGCGTTACTGATTTGAATCTATCCGATGATTATGTACGCAAAAATATACCTTTGAGTATTAAACGCATTCCAGCCAATGTTTGGTATGCATCTGGCAATGAAGTTCGTCATAATTCAACCCTATTGCAACGTTCGATGGCCTCGTTGGAGTGGCTGCGTGTAGGCGATCGCATTGCGCTAGAGTTGACGCCAGCGCGCACACTGCGTATATTGTTAAATTCGGAGGATATGAATATCCACTTTCACAATGTGCCCAATGTGAGTAACGGTATATCTTTGCACATACAGTAGAGTTGAAATATTCGGGAAAACCGTGTTTTTGCTTCCAGGATATCTACGTTGTCGCTGAATTACAAGGTTCTACCATGGCTGTACAAACGATCTCTACACAAGGTCCAAATTCGCCGCTAAGGCCATGTAGTTTGCGCCTACAAGACTCACTCGACTTCGGTGTGGATCCACTTAATAAGCAGGACTCGATGTTGGATTCAATCGATTCGGAAATGCAAGTATACGAGTTCTCAGAGCTACATGGTAAACATATACGTCTATTGGATGATCGCCACACAGCAATGCGCACACAATCATACAACCAAGGTGTGGTCCTTGTTGGCAAACCCCTCATGAAAGGCGAAAGTATTAGTGTGAGTAAAACATGCAGGGAGTAAAGCGTTCAAATTTCATTAATTTAATACTTACTCTTTCAATTGCACAGATTAAAGTGGAAGCTGTTAATCCCAAGTGGAAGGGCACCATAGGTCTTGGCGTTGTCTCCATTTGGCCACATTCGATGAGCGTATCGCAAATGCCCATCTCTATGCTGCACTTTAAACGTCCCTGCTGGCTAGCCACACACGACTACATCAATATAAACGGTCAGAAAATCGCGTCCAGGTATGGTGAGGCGTTAGAACAAATACAAGCAGGTACCGTTATCACTATGACGCTTTCGAATGTGGGCATGTTAGGTGAGTGAATAGAGCATAAAACTTAATGCACAAATCATTACTACTCTATAAATTTTCGATATAGTAATAATGGTTGGCTCCATCAACTTGGAAGATCTAGCTGCTGGTGTTCCCAATAACGTCTACCCCGTCTTTGATCTCTATGGAAAATGTGAGAAAATATCATTAATTACAACTAACGACGTTGGACGCAATAGTACGCCGATTATTGAAGAGGCTGCAGCATTAGAGTATGACAATTTGCAAGAGCAAGATAACGGTGTGCCACAGTGTGAGAAAGCTGATTTGGAGATGCATGAAAAGGAGACGGAACAGTTGTCACAACAGCAACAGCAGGCGATGCAGACGAGCGGTGGTGCTGTAGGTGGTGTAGCGGCGCCAAGTGGCAGCGCTGGCAGTAGTGCTGCAATGTAAGTTCGAATCAAGCGGAATTTAAATGTGCTGAATAATAAAACGCTGATTTTCTTTGCTTTACAGGAATCGCTCGGTAATGGAAAGTGTCTCGGAGAATTTACTATTGAATATTTCAATTAAAAACCGTACTTTGGAGCAAAATCGTTCTGGGGAATCAAGCGCTGCCAACACATCTTGGTATGTTGAGTAATTATGCCGAATTCTATCAGAGTTCTAAAGTTGGTGACTAGTGGGTTTGGGTGGCCCTAGACAATTTGTCTGTTAAAGAGGCAAAAGATCGTTAAAAAGCACTATTTTCCTTTCTTGACGCGAAAGTTTGTTCTAGGCAAGACAGTGCAGCTTAGAGGGTTAGCCGCCGTGATATTCTGATCTCCTTTGAATCAGAGTTCCATTCCCTGTAATTTAGGATTGTTTTCTATTCCCCTCAGTGTTGAGCTTTTAAAGCAAAGATTTTTGAGGACATTGAATTTGTTTGATGGTGGCGCTAGTTAAGAGAATATCCAGGGAAACTTACGTAGGAAAGCCTTAAACAACTTACGGTACTATCTTAGCAAATAATAAAATTTCATAGAATTCTTTGAAGGATACTATAGATTTTAGGCCCCAAATTGGGTCTCCTTCGGCAGCAAACAAAAAACCTAGTTTTATCTATAGTAGATACAGATAGTTATAGGAAACTCCTTACACGGTTTCTCAACTGAAATACTAATCTTCCTACTATATTTTGGTCCGATCTCTGTAATGCACCCAACTTTTCCTGTTGCTGGCTGCTTCATCATATTATATAACAAATATATCTCCTCTCTATCATTCTCCATTTAAGCTGTCTGCGTGAGTCCTTGCAACTGCAGCACAATACCAACCTCAACATTCAGCGTAGCCAGAGTACACAACGTTTTCAAAATGCCATGAACGCTTCGGCTAACTCAACAGCGCTAGGCAGTGGCGCCGTGGCTGACAATCTCGTGCATCCTTCAACGTCCGCCACAGCAGCAACAGCAAATCATAATACCACTACTAATACAACAACTACAAACACATACGTCCATGATACGAATAAAGACTACGAGGCATTCGAAGAGGCCGGTGCTGTTGGTGGCGTATCACTGCAAAGCGAACTGCGTGACTGCAACTCCAAAGAGAATTTACTCGAACAGCGTGCAGCGAATAATTTAGATGCTTTGGAGCAGCTAGTCAGCAGCGTGGGCATACACGGTGCAAATGCTAACGCGGCGGCAGGTGGCGTGGGGCCGGCTGGCTTGTCCAATAATAACTCAGCCAATGAACGCAACACATATGAAGATGATACCAATTTAGCTGCCAGCATTTTTGAAGCCACCACAGCTATCACCAGCACTGCAACCGCGGTAGCCGGTGTTGATACAAATGTTGATGTACTGGAGGTGGCGACGGATGGGCGCGCCTATGAGGAAGCAGACATTGATGATGCTGATGATGTCGACGATGATGACAATGATGATGACGATGATGATGATCTAGAGGACAATGATAATTTGGATCACTTATTACTGCTACAACAGCAACAAGATTTCTTCCGTCAACGCTATCAACAATTGTGTCAGCAACATTTCGGTGTGCTCTCCTCGGCCTCATCGTCTACTCAATTCGATTCACTACAATCGATACCCTCCATTGAACGCAAGGATTGTGAATATCTCAAATTAGTACAACAATTCCGTGCATCACTCGTACTGCCGCAATCCTTCTTCCAACCGCTCACTGATCCAGTTTGCTTCTGCACGCACTGCAATGCTTTAGCCTCGGAAAAACTACATGGTTGGGTCTACTTTAAGTTGAATCAGCAAACCGTGAATTCGACCGCTGTGCAACAATCCCTCGACACCGGCGAATGGTTACCGCTCTACTATATGACGCGCGTGGATAAGATACGTGCCATACTTGATCGCGGCCAACCGTTACCGCTGGAGTCGAACTGTGAGTCGTTCACTAGCGCGAGCAATCAGAAAGATGAGCCTGGCACCCGGCTCGAATTGCATTTCTCACCAAACGCTGCCGGCATTGTGTCGATGAATGGTCAGCACAAATATTATATCAACTCACATGCGTATAGCATTGGCACCGCCTTCGAGGTGTACGTGCGTCGGCAGTCGCTCTGTCTGACCAATAGCAGTAAAATGAATGTGAACGCTGCAGTAGCGGCCTCATCTAGTGCTGCAGCGGCGGCGCTTAGCCTGCTGGAGCGACGTTCCTCCAGCGATCTCTTGCACCCACACGAGACAAGCAGCGGCCTGACATTGGATCAAAGTAGCAGTAGTAGCGGTGGCGCTGCCAGTTTTAGTGCTGGTTCAACGTCGAGTGCGTCGCTCAAGGACATCACCTGGTTCACAAAGGAAGCTGGTGCTTGCGTTATAACTGCGCTCATACTTAAGTTGGACCGAATTACGCCACCAGCTATAGGCGCGGAGTGCAATTAAATGAGAAATTTTTAAAGAAAAACTTGCATTGTACTGAAACGACAGTCCATTACGGTATTGAAAACACATATAACGTAGATATTTTGGCTACGCTTTAAGTAGCACTTCTAGTCTAAACTTTTTATTATTTTGTATTAAATTATAACTGTTCCAAAAAAGAAAATTTAATATCTATTTTGCACTTTTGCATACAATTTTATAAATATACATATGTACATACATACATACATATGTGTATGTCATAAATTATTGAAATATAATGCGAAATTATTTAGTGTCTGTTGTTAAACTGCTTCCTGCTGGCCGTCGATAAGGCAGTGCACATTAATCATTCATTATTTATTTATATATGCATTGGCCTTAATTTAGTTCGTTCATTAGCACTTTGTAATATTTACGAAAACAAAAAAATTAGTATAAAAAATCTAAAAAAAAAAAAATTCTCAAAAAAAAATATATGCACCTACCATTAGCTGCAAGCAAAAAAAAAAAAAAAAACGTGTGCAAAGCAAATTAGAAAAAAATTAAATTACTTCTATCTTATAGGTATGTTATTATAATATATTTTTTTCCAAAGGTGCATGATTTTTTTAAGTTCGAGCTTTTTTTTAGCTTTAGAGCTACTTAAATTTCTTGTGAGCTTTAACAGCAACTTCGAAAGCTTATTTTCAAAAACGCACAAACCTTACAATCTGTGGTGGCTTTCAATAAAATTTGAATATCTTAGTGGATATTCATTTGACTTGATCATTTTTTAGTATAAAAGAGATTTTGGAAGCTTTTATATAAAAGCTTACGAAGTCTTTATATCTTGTTTAATTTCAATTTATATTTTATTCTTTAAACTTTTTAACAACACTAAAAATATTGTATAATTGTATTCAAAAATAATTCATAAAAGAGCTTTTAAGCTTTCTAAGTGCTTTTCAAAGCTTAGAATAAATTGATTCTTAGCTTTGTCAATATAAAATTTGTTTGGTATCACATAGTTGTGTTAAATAATATATTTAAGAAAAAGCTTTTAAGTTTTTCAAGCGCATATTATATTGGGTGAGGTTTTAAGCTTCTTAAGCACCCCTTGTAAGCACAGTTTCGAAAAATTTTCGTCTCAGCTTTGTCAATAACTTCGCTGTTGATTCGTCGAAAGCTATATTAGTATGCGCTCTAGAAAATGCGCACATGAATTTTGAGCCTTTACACTAAGCGGATTTTTTGAGCTATTATGAACTGTTATGTTATTATAAAAAAGCTCAAAAGATATTTAAATATTTAATACACTTAAATCACTCCCAAAATAGGTAGAAATACAGGCTTATTGTAAAAAAGCTTGAACGTAAGCTCTCAAGACCGAAATTTTAGTGTTTAAATTAATGAAACAATACTTATTAAATAAATTGATTTATTTCTGAACCATTATTTGAAGCAGATATCTAAAATTTTCTAGTTTTATTTTGCCAAAGAAAAAAAGCAAAGCTTTTAAAGCAATAAAAGCGCTTGTGATTTTAATTTGAACTTCATTTCATAACTTTTCGCTTTTAACTTTCTCGTGAAACTTTTTATGCAAAAAAATACCTTAGAAGAAATTTTCAATTTTTTTTTGCATGGAGCTATTTTAAACTAAATAACAAAAATTTGGGACAAAGTATTTTGAAAAAAAACCTTTATTAATCGAAACGAAGAATACAATTTTAACAAAGAAAGTATATTTTAATAATTTGAAGCATAAAAGCTTTAGCTTGTGCTTTTCGACATACCAAAATTATTTAAGAGATTTGAGCTTTCACAACGAAATCATAATTGGTTACATAGAGCTTACTTTTAATACGGAATTGAGCGAAAAAAAAAATATTTATTTATTTTAACTATTCTAAATTGTAGAAGAGTAAAAAAATTAAAGCATAAATGCGGAGTTAAGAAAAAATTTTACGAATATTTTTAGAATTTTTTTTACGCTTTTGCTTTTAGAACAAAATGTTTCTGAGTAATAAACTAATTTAAATATTATTGAAAATTCCTCTAAAAATAGCCTAAAATCAAAATTAAGTACAGAAATTAACAAGAATTATTTGAAAAAAAAGTATTTGAAAAATTTACATTTTTTCATAACCCAGCACAGCAAAAAAAATTAAAATTAAGTTCGGAAATTATTTTTAAAAAATCTTCACTTTTGTAAAAGTTGCTACTATTATACACACCTACACATATATAATATAATCTAGCTATAAAAAAAAACCAGCTAATGAGCAGCACTGAATAAATATTGAGACATTCTTACATATTTTCTAAACCATATTTTACAATTTTTCTATTTATTTCTTAATTTCTTCAATGAGGTATGAATTTTTAAAGTATAAATTAAATAATTGGCAAGCCATTAAAGCCATATTATACTGTATATAAATACTAAATACATAAGTATTGTAAGCTGAAATACATACATATATACATCTCTATATAAACACACACATACACATATGTATGTTAGACACTCGCTAAATTGTGCATGTCAACGCTTGGCAAAATTGTCATACCATAAATTTCCTTTGATGGCTAAGTAAATACAATTGAAACAATATATACATACAAACAAATATGTGCACCAATACATACAGATTATAAATACTCAAATAAATGGAAATTCATTAAAAGAGATTATAATTTCTAAAATAAATAATTAATCAATGTTAAATGATTACACAAATGTGCACAAAATTATTGGTATTTTTCTTGTATTGTTGTTATTATTGGCGGATATAATAGGTAAGTGAAGAATGTAGTATTCTTAGCAGGGATCTACCAGCTGTTACATACATTTTAGGTGGCTTAGAATAAACATTTTATAATATAAGTCCGAATTTTATTTGAAAAATCCACCATCGATCGTCCTTTGCCCCAAGCCGTGCCGACATCATCATCGATATGCACCAGACATTTTAATTGAAATATTGTATGTTGAGCTGAAACACTGCCTCTGCTGAAGTGACCAGGCTCTACGTCATGCTCCTATAATTTCTATTGTAACTGACAGACAAGTTAGTCTACATCGCTCCAGGATATGCTCTATGGGTAGTGCTTTTTGGTAGGTTATATTAAGAACAGTTTTTGCTGTCAGTTTTCAAAAATCGGTGAGTGGCATATGACTACAAAAAATGGGACGGAGTCTAGTTTGGATGTCGCTGAAAGCCATGGAATGGGCAATAAGGAAGGTTCAGTCTAATCAAGTTATGGAGCTGCTGTTGACAACTGCTGAGCGACTGGGCATCGATTGGCGTCTAGAGATGCGAACAGAATAGAGCCACATGCTGAATATATACGATTACGTAGGGCTGCTTGGTTACTGCGGCATCTTGGACACAATTATGAACCTACAAAGCCTGTAAAGGACTTTTCAGTTTAGAACACCGCAGCTACAATAAGAGAGGGATACGAAAGTTGTACCATAAGGTTTTTTAAGATTCATACAATACAATTATCTATTGACCGCTTTTAGTTCCATCTGGGTCAAGTTCCCTTAGATTTGTGGCCAGCCAAATTTTGGTCCCAACACAGTACCGCTTGTTCTAAATATGAATTCCTTTGGTAATAGTCTGCAGGAAGGAATCTAACTCTATGTTATTGGGAACCTAAATGAGTGAGGGTCTTTTCAGTTCAGCCGTCGCCATAAAAAACCTGTCAACGTCCAGTGCAATTTTGGAATTTATCATGATCGAGTCTTTTTTTGCTGGCAGTTCACTGAAAATACTTTTTTTTTCTTAAAAAGTTGTTGACTTGCCTCCATAATTAGCAGAGCGTTCAGCGTTATAGGCAGCTCGGCATAAGAAAAGACGTCCCCACCGAACTTTTAGTCATATGTATTTATTCCTCATACTTTTTGGTTGAGAAAGTCTGGAGCAAAGCATTTCAAATAAACTTTTTGGGAAATATTTCACCTAACCTAAAATAACCCAACCTAAATCCAATTATTCTATGTCAATGTCAACTCAATGAGTTCTTATCAATTTTTCAGAAAATGAATTAATGGTAATTATGCATAATTAATATAAATGTAACATGTAAGGAAGACTAGGTGCGGCTGGTATCGAACATTTGATATTCGGCTAATATTTATCTATGAAAAAGATTTGTCGCATCTACATACTCGTATATGCCGAAACCACTTGGTTGGTTTCAGTGAAATTACAAATTTCCAATGAAACGATGTCGGGTCGTACTTGGGGCGGAGAAGTGGCAGATGGAGTTCATTCTTTTATCATGAGCCCTCATCAAAGAGTGTCCGGTTACGACGCCGGTTGTTATGCTCGTGGAGGTTCTGTTTAGAAGACACAAAAACTAAGTTTTCAGTTTTCATGCGCCAATGACCAAATTTGTCTCTTTACATTGCATGTGGTTTAACTTTACCATCTGCTATCAGTCCAGCGGGTATTTTGCAAAAAAAAGGGGTATGCCCGCATCGTGGTTAGGAATGTACCCCTTCTGGGTAGCTTATAGGGCGGCATGTTGCTATGCTGGGTGACCCAAATCGCGGCCGTTTCGCATACAGTTTGTTTAAAAATTTCATATATTTTATTGCCAATTTTGAGGTGGCTTAAGTCAGTATAGATTGAGACACTTTTCATTATAAAAGTTGAGTCACAATGAAACGGACTACATTATTGCAGTTATTTCAGCTTGAAACACGCTGCCGTGGTCTGGAAGTATCCTGATTATGTGGTTCACAGTGGACTCCGCAAGCTACTCTGTCATCGAGTTTGGAGCCGTCAGTTAAGTTGGATATAGACCGTTGAATCAGACATATAAGTGTTAACCGAACAAACCGAATCTACTTTCTTCACAGCCGAGTAGGAAAATTATGAAAATGAGTTTATTAACATTTATTTTGCTAACCTTGAACCAAATAAAAATAAAAAAAAATAAGGAAGAAAACTGCATGACAAGTTCCACACGCCAAGAGTTTCCACACAGTGTGATAGATAAGTGGAACTACATACATATTATAACTACATATGATATGTATGTATGATAAATGTATGTAAAACATAAATATATATTACATACAAACATACATACTCGCACATGTACACATGCTAATGTTCATTTTGCCACCAGAGACAGTGTGGAACCATTAAACTTGAACTTGATTTGATTTTTACTCCAAGATTAAAGAAAAAAAAAATCACTCCCCACGAAAGGGTAATGACAAATGTAGCAGTTTGGCTTTGATATATTTTAAATGGGAGTTTTTTTTAGTTAATTTGAGAGTAAATTTAAACCCGTGACTTATTATTTGCGTTGAATGCAGAAAATTATAGACCGAATGCAGGCTTTTATATAATGAAATACAAATGTAGATACCCTGCAGGGAACCAAAGAGTTGTTAACTGAATTCCAAGTAGTTTCCTTTTTTACACTAACTACAGTAGCTCCTCAGCTCCTTTGTCATATCGTATCTCCCATGCAAGCCACTGGTATTTTTAACACAGCGATGGCCTACCAACTGTTAATTTACCCACTCTGCGTCAGGCAATATACCAGTTGAACACTAGGCCATTTTGGCCTGTTGAGTTTCTACCTCACAAAAAAAAAAATATATATATTTACTAGCCTGCAGTGAGACTCGCACCATGAACCTCACCGCACTGCTGTAACTACCGCTAGCCACTGGACTATCGCGACGATGAAGCGATTAACGTCATTTTACGCATTTCAACAGAGCGCAAAAGAAGATGAAACTTAGCCGTGGCGCGCTAATATATGGTTTACCGTTACTGGTGAGCTGCTTTGCAAATAACCAACTGGTATTATTTCATCTTAAACATACTAGTATTTAACTAGAACTTTTGTAAATTTGTCTACCTTTTTCCTGCAGGGTGTAAATATATGTATGTATGACTTTGTGAGGTGCTAGTAAGTCAACCAATTAGTGTGTACGTATATATGTTAATAATAACGGAAAAAAAATGTAGTTGTAAATTAAATCCTTTGGGATATATTACACTTCGTGAAATAAGCACAATTAGCAGGCGGTGTTACATAAAAGCTCTTGTCTATTTTATATATTGTATGGGGAAGAATATGGCGCACGTTGCAAATGTTTACTTAACCCATATACATACATACAATGTATCATATATAAATATGTAATTTATAAATAGAGTCGTAAGAGTTACCTCAGTACACCTCCGCCGCCAACTAAAGAGTCATACATTTTATGGATTATTTTCCGCCAAACTCTTCCTCTACTTTGTCTTAGGGCGTCTTGATGGTTTGCCAACGAACGGTGGGACCTACAGTTCACTCTAAGACGCCTCTGTATGATCGATGGATTTTTTTTTAAGGAGCTTTTTCTTATTTAATAGGGAGAAATGCACTCAGAGCGATTGATACTCCCTACCAAATGGGAGACCTTAATTAGAAAAACTCATTCAAATTTAATTTTCGATAATTTTTGATGTTGGTCTTACCAAGGTTCGAACCTGTAACCATTTGCGGCTGCCCAATGTACACACAATAGTATAGAAATTTAGCATAAGCCAGCAATTAGAGTTGAACAATAGGTTAGGTTGCCATCAGGTGCTTTGTAACAGGGACTTAGCATGCCATAGACAGCATAATTAGTTCTTTAGTTGTTAACGTCGATCGATCATGGATCATGGTACCCCGATCAAGCTCACTCAAGACTGCTGGCGTTTTGTGATACCAATGGTAGTCTTATGGAAAGAGGTTTCACTCGCCTTCCTATGAAATCCAGGAAGCAAGTTCGGCAAGAGTGTCATAACAAAACTCACAAAGAGCTGGCCAGTGTCACAGCTGGCTACTGTCACACCTGCCCAGTGTCAGTGCCTGAGTAACGCTCTAATGACTCCACCTCTATGTCCCTCTAACATGAGCTTTCTTCACACAGTATCTATATATTCTGTTCCCTTCTCCTCGTTAAATGATCAGATTGGTTTGGTAACATTACATGTGTTCTCATCTCGACCTTTTCTTATGGGTGCTACTGATGAAGGCCGTTCATAGCAGGTAATTTACCATCGTTAGCACTGTTACTTTCCAGCAAGCTCGTCTTTATCGTAATTTTCTGGACTCTGTGTCTGGAGACCCAAACTACGGATGTTTCCCATACGGTCGAAGCTTCTGTTATTACAACTACTTCTGCTTGGAAGGCGCTGCAGTGGTTAGGACGTCATTTGCTCATGTCGATTACGTGTAGTTCTGGATGCGCTCCACGGTTCCACGAGTTTTCAGCGATAGGTGAAGATGGCTAAGGATATTTAAACCAAAACTTTTATATTTTCCTCATTCATTCCTTTCTGTGGCTTTAATTAAAAAAAATATTGTCTGAGCAGAAAACAGATGTGGTGAGGTCCAATCCTTCCGAGACTAGGTTAAAGCTTTTTGGATGTGTCTTATAGAGGGTCTCAACTTCTCCCTTTAACTTTTCTACAAGTATATGTTTGTTGACTATCCTGAGGAGAAAGCGTAAAAATCCCATTTTCCATATGCATTGACTCCATCCCTTCATCGGTAAGTGTTATTTATACTGGGCGCATGGTAACCGCTGAAGCAGTTTTCGGCCGAACTCCTTCTCCCATTTGTGGTGCACGTCTTGATGTTTTACCAACAGTTCGAGGAACATACAGTTTATTCTAAGCCGCCTCAGAACGGCTGATGGTTTTTTAGGAGGAACTACAAAATAAAGAAATCTCACCGCACAACTTCCCTGTCACCCCATCTAATGGCAATCACTGTCGAATGTGGTGCATACATTTGCATTGTATTACTTCAATTAAAACATTTTGGCCCTGGTTTAGTAATCGCTCTGGTATTTAAATATGATGTTTGTCCTTTTAAAAAGTTCTACATTACAATTGCCAACTACACGCCCACTTGCATTGTACAAATTCCATTTAAATGTCATTTAGGGGACATGAATATTTAAAATCCAACCGGCAACAGACAGATGGATGGATGGATAGACAGACGGACGGAGGGCTGAAGGGGCGTACGGCTGAGTAATTGATCGACACTTTGAACTTTAGCGTTGGCTCTGCCGCGTTGCATATCGACTCACTCGTGTTTGCCTTGCAATTAGCACTGAAAGCTTTCATATTTACCTCTGTGTGGCATTATTTGGTTACTTGAGTGTGTGGTTGTGCAAGCACGCCATCCATGGTCAACTGTTGATTTTATACTCTCTATAAATATTAATTTAAAATTGATTAGTTGATGATGATTATAATTGAGCTGGCTGTGGGATATTTTCAAATAACTGGCGACTACGCAGTTCGCTGGAATTCGAGATACCAAGTGAAGCCAAGTCCAATTTACCTGAACTCGTAGTGAAAGTCTTAATCTGCATCTACTTAAAAAGTTGGTCCTTGGAGTTGCAGTCTGTTGTGCTGCATTTTTCCTGCCACAAGATGGCGATCCGGGTCGATCGGAGGTTCTCGGAACGTACAAGGATCTAGAACACAGCGGACATGCCGTCGGCTATCACTAAGACGGATCAGCGGTTACACGACTTTCGATTCGGTATCAATCATGTCTCTTGCGGAACTTTCTTGTGCCGAGCACAGTTGAATTTGTTCAGCCTCATCTCGTTTAGGGTCGTTTAATCAAGGAAGCTGAATTTTCAGATCGTGCCAAAATAACTTTTTTGCTTCCCTGGCGTTAGAGCACTATTTTTAGCTTTTGTTGGAACTAGCGCCCATAGTGGAGATGTTCACCTGTCGGGTGTCGGGGTGAATACCAGTAATCAATAATAATTGGCGTTTCTTAACTGCTGGAGTGATTTGCAGTCTAGGTGCTCCTTCAATTTGTGGCATGCATCGTGACATTTTTTCCAACAAATGGAGGAAACGAATTCTTATGAGAAACATGTCAAAGAAGCACATCACATACCCTATCTAATTTTCTATTGAATGTTGGTCAGTTCAGGACTCGCCTAACCCACAAGTCTATCACCAAATACAAGCTCCATTTATGGACACTGTATTAGGTTTCACAAGGATCAACCTTCTTCTGTCCTTTTCCCATCCAGTTCTTGAACAGGCCAGCCATTATACTTAGGATGACATCAGTCAGTTGGACAATGAGTCCAATACACATAATTTTTGGTTCATAAAACGATTTTGGTCATTGTCATTAAATGAGAGACTCCAACATCAAATACTTGGTTGTTTTCTTTTTTATTGTAGCTCAATTCCATGTGGCATGTCTAAGCCCAGTGCAAAACCTCGCAGCCGCAACTTTGCACAATTCTTAAGCCGAATATGTCGAAAGACAGAGTGACTTCAGTTAGCCAAGGCTTCAGATGGGTGGGTTGCTGCATAAGGGTGGAGCAGCGGTATGGAAAATAGCTCACTTCCACTTTATTACACACTAAATATTTCGATTACTCGACACAATATCAGTCGAGCCTACTTCCGAAAGCTTTGGATAAAGTTGAATTAAGACTTGACTTATTTTTCATTAAAATTTTTATTTTTTAAAGCTAACATATTCATCACAAATTCCCCCCAAATCGTCGAAATGAAAGGGCGTTGCTACCCTTTAAGAGCAACGCAAGCATTTCGCTGTAGAGGCGCCCGTGTTGGTAGGTGTCGTCACTGTTGTGCCCTCCAAACTAAGATTTACTTTAACATAAACTGTAGCGAGCGGCACACCACGTCGATGAATTGTCACGCATTTACATTGCTCCAGCAGAGCGTCTTTCAAGAGATCCCGCAACTCTAACACGCCAAAGCCAAGCAGCTCGTTCAAACAAGTACCCGGCTCACGCCATCTCACTGCAAAATGCAGACGCCCCAAATTGAGTGAACTCTCACCGCCACTTGCATTTTCATCCAAGTCCTCGATTAATGGCTTCAAATTGATATTACGTTGCGCTTCTCGCCCGAAACGCGTACACTGAGTTTGACAGTGGAATTGGTCCGATTCGAATTGTATGATGTTGAAGATTTCATTACGGGGCAAATACTGCACTAACTCCTTGGATAGTTGACATTCAATGGTGAATATGGGAAATGCGTTGTTCTGTTGCAGCAACTCAATGCGTTTGCTACCCTCTGGTTTCAGTGTCAATGCTTCTAGTAGCACACGTACGCTCTTAATGCTTTTGAAGATCTCTAAGTCGTTGCGTGTAATAGTCCTCCCGGCTTTGCGTGGCGCATTGAAAAATTCCTCTAATACATGCTCATTGCTATCCGCACTGTGCTGTTGCAACTCTGGTGGTTGTGGCTTCACTTGGAATTTCGTCTCGCCGACCAGATAGGCGATCTGTTGATCGTCGAGTTTGCGTATTGTTGCTGGTAGGTAAAGAAAAGAAAAATGCGTATAATTGCTTATAGAAAAAATTTTACCGAAAAAATGTATAAGACTTACCCATTCAAATACCCGGATATGTGTTCTAAATTATTATTAAAAGGAATTTTTTTAGGAGCAAAAAATATCTTCAGCTTCAAATGATCTTAAAAGTTTTTAGCAAACGCTCTGCGAAAGTATACGATTTTTTGCTTTTCTCACAGCTATTTATATGGCGCAGCAGTCCATATAAAGGGTGTTTTTTCGGAGTGGGCCTCTTTGACAGCGGTTACTTGATTTAAACTCAGTTTGGTTGGCCGTTTGATGATGAACCGCTTGCAAATCGTGCAAATTTATTACCAAAATTATGGTTCGGTTTCCACAACGCATCACGCGCTCCTCAGCAGAGTTGGTAATTCGAGCTACCCTAGATAATGTGTATCCTCATAGACGTCACATAGTGCGAACCCTATTGCTGCTGTGGAGCAAAGTATCGAAGAAGACCCGTCTGCGTCCATCCACCATCATGGGTAACAATTGAAGCTCTGCTCATTCACTTTATGGACGATTTTATGGAAAGATCATGGCTTGCGTGTTTACAAAATCCAGCTCTTTCAACAATTTAGACCGACTTCAAAGCGATACAAGAAAAATTAGTTCAGCGATGAAGCTCACTTCTGATTGATTCATACGGTAATAAACAATTTAGACCGACTTCAAAGCTATACAAGAAAAATTATTTCAGCGGTGAAGCTAACTTCTGATTGATTCATACGGTAATAAACAAGATTGTTCCATTCGGAGTGATTATAATCAACAAGCCTTTGTTGAGTCGCCATTAGATCTTCAAAAAGTCACTGTTTGGCATGCTCTATGGGTGGAGGGAATCATAATGACACTGTCAATGGGGAACGTTATAGAGCCATAATTAATGAATTTTTCGAGGATGTTGATGTAGACGACTATGGTTACAATAATACGGCGCTACATGCCAAACCGTCAACGAAACAATCAATTTAGTGAAGGACACCATTTCGCAGGGCAGGGGATTTTGGTGTGGCCTGGAAGATAGTCCGCCTGAGACGATGTTATGTCTGACATACGGTCCCAATTGCTGCAAAAATGGTCGATATCCGGCCTCTCGGTTGGAATTTATTCCCGACGGTTACTTGCCAGAAATCATTTTGAAAACAAAGGCAAGCCCTTTTTCTACTAAAGCCTCAAGAAACACCCTTTATATTGTTTGATCTAAAAGACTTTATCGAATTTTTCAGTATTAGCAAACTTGTGAGATAGAGCGTAGAGAGAGTACGAGAGACCGCTAATACATACCGCTCTGAGTCAGTCTGCGAGTGGCTTAGTTCACAGCTTAATATAAAAAAATATTATATCACAATTGAATGTTAAAAATAAGCGCTTCTCAGCACGCCATAAACCTTTGGAGAACTTTGATTGTAAAGCGATTAATTAGCGCATAAATAATCTTTTAATCACCACGTGTATTTGTGATTTTTATAAAGCGATTCCATGTCACAGATCGGTAATATTTTTTTCGAGGTGAAAAAGTGTAAATTTAATCTAGATTTGTAAATAGGATTATTTAATCATTCAAGTCGCACAAGATTGTTATCAACACTCAATCGAAAAAATATTCCAAAAGATCTTATCAACAAACTCAATGTTTCAACAAATTCAAACTGTCGCCGCGCCGTTTAAATTTCGCTACTGAGCTAAGTGATGAGCGCGCGCTCTCTCGCTCTTTAACGCATGCTGACAAAGCGCATAAGCATTTCCATCGCCAGATTTAGTTTCTTGATAACGCTGAAGCGCGAAAATATTCCATCTGTCTAGATGCTGGAATTTAATAAAAATTTCAGCTTTAAAAAGCTTTGCAGCCACAAAATAACTGCCTTCCAGGCAATGTCAGCGCGCGAAACAGTAGTTATTCGCTTACAACATTTAAGGTGCAATGCGTGGAGTGAACGAGAAAATGGTTGCGCAAATACGCACGCCGTCGAAGTTAAAGTCGATTAAAAAGCGCGGCAGCAACGCCGACGAGCTGTGTCTGGAAGAATACACTGTGCCAGCAGAAAAAAGCGTTGAACATTTTACAAATGTCGACTTGGCACGCCTCAGAGATGTTGATAGTTTAAAGTTACGTCTGGAGACACTCGAACTTAAGCCGGAGGGTTGTAAGCCTTTGGAAACGCTACAACGTAAAACTCAACCAATATTCACCGTTGAGTGTCAACTGTCACCTGAGCTGTTGCAGCATATGCCACGCAATGAAATGTTCAATATTATGCAGTTCGAATCGGATAACTATACACCGCAGACACAACGCACGCACTTCGGACAGGAGACGCAACGCGCTATCAATTTGAAACCGATTGCAGATGAGCTGGAGCGTTTGAATAGCGGTGGAAGTAGTAATATTGTGGCTTTTTCTCATTTTGGTCGCATACATTTCAATGTTTGGCTACGTGAACCGAATACCTGCAGCAATGAACTATACGGCTTGGGCGTTTTTGAGTTAAGTGAGTTGTACAATGGCGACGTGTCGTTGGCGCGTTGTAAGCGTATAGCTATACAGAGGCGTGGTGAGTCATTGGCTGTGCTTTATTTGAAAGTTAACCTACTTTCTGTCCAAACCGAACCGCAACCGAGTAAGCCGAGCAAGGTCATAAAGTTTGCGCCGACTTCGGGGATTTAATGCGTAAGAAGGTCGTCCGCGACTGCAAGGAGTTTATGTATATGACTGTTTAAAGGAAATACTGAATTTACTAAGGATTATATTATATTTATAAATGTTTTTAGGGCAATAAATTTAACTTATTTTTACTTTTGCATGAAGTGATGGGAGAGTCAAATAAAACGTACTTCCGCATCGCACTGTCAAAAGTCATACAGATTTTAGCCTGAGGTATTCGTAGCCATGGCCGCGGTAGCCGACTGGTTAGCATTGCATTTTCTAATTGCGGTTGCCCCTCGGCAGGGACTGTCAACCCCTTCTAGTGTATTTCTGATATGAAATAAGCTCCTCATAAAAAACCATCATCCGTTTGGAGGCGCCTTAGTATAAACTGTAGGTCTCTCCATTTGTTGGGAAAACATCAAGTCGCAAAACCACAAATTGGAAGAAGAGTTCGGCCAAAAATCGCTTCAGTGGTTACAAAGCGCCAATTATATATATATTTGTAGCTATGGAATGATCCTTGGAAGTTTCTCTGACTGTTTGTAACCTTTATCTAGTATATACACTTATACACATGACAATATTTCGGACATGTCAAAGATAATTATCATCAGGTAGAAGAAGATACTCTTAGTTATATCGTCTTTGTATGCAACAGAGGTCACAAAAACCTATCTTCTTCCATGTTGGTTTCATACATCACATATTCTGTATGAGCGGCTGCATCATTCCGGACTTACTTTCCCTTAAACAGAGCTTGATGTGCTTACCAAAGCCGTCAAACAAAAATTTAAGTGCTCATCCGAGAAATTTGAATTTTTTGAAACTAACTAATTCATTTATGAAGTGAGTTTCAAGCTCAGCTCATAACTTAAGGAGTTCTTATGGCACCACTAAAGCTCACGCTACTTTAGACGTTACCCAAAGCTCTGAGTTGTTTATCGCATCTGGGTTAGACATTAGGTTTTTTCCTTGATATGAAGGGGGGTTTCAACAACATTCTCCCTGCCTTCGTAAAAGAGGCTCTTCAGGAAATGGGTATTCAACAGCCCATAGTTAATCTCATAGAGTCTCTTCTGAGGAACAGGATCATCTTCACAGAGTTGGAAACGTCAGCGTTTCTAGGCACATAGCAAGAGGCACCCCTCAAGGCGGAGTTTTATCGCCACTGCTGTGGTACTTAGTAGTGAACACGCTGATTAGGAAACCGCGCAAGACAGGTCGGAGCGTTGTGGCATTCGCTGACGACTTTGCCCTGACAGCGACAGGCAAGCACTTACAAGCATTAAGCGATTTACTCCAAAATGCTCTTTGTATAGTTGAGGGATGGTGAAGAGATAGCGGGCTGGACGTGAACCCTGATAAAGCCGAAATGGTTTTATTTACCAAGAGGTACAAACTGCATGCCTTTACACCACCCAAACTAAAGGGCGTGAAGATTCCCCTCTCCCCCGAAGTCATATGCCTTTTAATAATCTAAAATAGCAAACTAAACTGGAGCCGGAACACGGCAGGAAGATCAAGGAAAGTTATAACTGCACTCTACGCCAGCAAAACGGCGATAGGAAAGAGATGGGGCTTAAGACCGAGTATCGTGCATTGGATATACACATTGGTAGTTAGACCAATCGAGGTCTCCGTCTGGTGGTCGGTACTTACCACCTAGTCATCTTCAGGAGCAAATTAGATAGAGTTCAACGATCGGCGTCCATCCTGATAACGAGAGCTTTGCCATCAACTCCCTTGAAAGCACTGCTAACTCTTCTCAACCTCCTTCCTCTGTACCTATACGGGAAACTACAAGCGGTTTGCAACGCAATAAGATTGAATGCAACTCAACCTTGGAAGAATTGCAGTATAGGAAATCCAAAAATATTATCTCTTACATAAGTGCCGAAGGAGCTGGACTACACCACCTCCAGTATATGCTTCGCTAATCTTTTCTCCACAAAAATCCCAAACAGATGCGAGTGGGAAAACACCAACGCCTCCGACCACATGATGCATGTTTACGTCTGTCCACGTTGAACTGGCCTTCACCAGAGAAGCTGAATCGAGATCACGTGTAACGTGAGAAGGCAGCTATGCCGAAGTTGGACGCCAAAAGATCTAAACATCTGGGCCAGTTCTCTATTAGTTTAGCGACGGGTTTAATGGGGCTTCACGGGAATAGAATGGGCTTTTACTCTAACGATTTCTGCCGCTGCTGTAGGGACGAAGAAGAGGATGAGACCATCGAGCACTACCTCTGCCACTGTCCAGCCTTGTCATTCGCGCGACACAGGTTTCTTGGGAAACACTTCTTTGACTGCCTCGCTGAGTTGGCCTCAGTAAACATTGGCAAAACTATCGCCTTATAAGGCACACAAAATGGTGCGACAATTGGTGAAGCTGAAGACAGGAGCCTCAGCGGTATCACGATGGGTAGCCGCATCAACTCAACTCAACTCTGGCTAGACATCTAGACTTTACAGCCGGCTTGAGAGCTATTTCAACAATCATACTGTTTTTTGAACCAATCTCATTTACTTTAGGAAATAAATATGTGAATTCAAATTTTCTTAGTTCGTTTCCCATCTTACCTTGAAGAAAATTTCCATCTTCGTGGTTATATTATGTACTGTTGCCTTTTCGCTCGTCCGTGCTAAGCTCTTACAGAGTTTTTCATTGGCGCAGGCACCACTTACGCGGTTTTAGTCCAATCAACAAAAGCGCGACAATCATTGAATACCAAGTGAAACCAGGCCGCTCTTCACCTGATCCTTTCAACGGAGTAGAGATCTCATTCCTCCTTTGCTTCCCACTGGGTACTGACCGGTGCGCTGTACTCAATCAATGTTATCGGATCACTCAACCGATGCTTTGTGGAATTTTTCATTGGAGCATAGGACTCCCCTTCGCACTTTTGCACGCCTCTAAACGTATATTTACTGTCTACCCAGAGGATACTTGGTCTAAGACCAGAAGTCGTGAGCTGTTTGAACGATATTCAAAAGAATCGGTTCAGGCTACTTCTAGGTGAATGGCAGTCAAAAACTTTCACCACCTATGTGAACCTCTGAACTTTGCCTAATTCTCCAACGTTTTAACAGAACTGTGTATGAAATACTACACTAATTATAGTCTGTTTATGTGAAAGCCTTCATTGATCTCTGAAGGCTGGATCTTATGAACAGAGATAGATGATGAAGAAATCAGATGGTAATCTTGGGGTTTTATAAGTTCTTATAAAGCCCCAAGCTGACGTGATTTAGCCTAATGAGAAATCGACTAATAAAGGAATGGCAATCAAGAAGATCAATACGTTGCGATAGTAGCGATATTGACGAACAAGAAGAAGATAAATCATGTTTCCGTTAATCACCGTAATTATCACCCTATAAACGCATTGTTATTATTCGAATGCCATTGTCAAAATGTCAGCGAAAACACCTGTTTTTGTACATTACAAATGATTATGAAATGAGGTTGTTTGTAGTTGTTATTATTGTTGTATGTCTTCATTAAAAGTATTTTCTGAATTTTTGCTGTACTGTATATAAAATAGCTAATAAAAATGTTATAATCAAAATTGTGCATATAATCAATGTCAACTTCGATTGTACCCCAACCCGTGGCAGCACAGACCACCGTGGCAACTCTCGCGCAGAGTGACTAAATAAATTGTTTCAAAATGTCTGCTTTGACATTCGAGTACACTCGTATGTGTATATATGTATGTGTGTATCACTAACACTATGAATACAATGAGCTGGACGAGTTAGAAACTCAGCGAGTCAGCGTTTTCTGTTGGAATTGTATTAATAGTTTAACGCTTTTTATGGTCTGCGCTGTCAAAGCTCACTGTTTTAGGCATATGTGTGTGTGTGTGTGTAAATTTTTACAATATGCATGTTTATTATTTCGCCTCTGTTTGCTTTTGTTGTTATTTATGCATTATTGTTATATATGGAGCGTGCATGCCCACCCATACATACATACATTTGTACATATCTGTATGTGTAGTTACTCATTATATAGCAATTCGTTGCATTTGTTGCTATATTTGCGCTGACCACTGACGGCACTTGGCCCCTTAATTTTGTTTACATTTCCTACACACATACGCACATATACAAAAATTTAGTTTCTTCACACATACTGTTATAAACATATACGCCTATTGGTCTCTGTGGTAACATTGCTTTAATTGTATGCATGCTCATTTTTTAATATTCACTGCTGCCTTTATACATACGTGTATGCATATACTCATTTGTTTCTATGTACATATGTACACGTATGTACATACGTTCGTACCTTCATATAATTATTATTATAATTTTTATTTGTCTTTGCCAACTCAGTCGTTGTTAGATTTGTGTTAGTGTTTGTGTAGAATATAATTTTTTGTGAAAATAGTGAAATTATTATTATTTTATAGATTTCATCCACAGATCCTTACGTTGGAATAGTTAAGGTTGTGCGCTGGCGAGTAACGGTTGGGAAAAAATAAAAGCGTTGGTGACAAATAATTGTTGAAAAAGTATCTGTAAATTTTTGTATTCTAGTGAGTTTAAGCGCTAAAAAAAATATTATTAATATCGAAAAAAATAAATGAAAAAAAATAAAAAATAAAAAAAAATAAAAAATAAAAAAAAATTAAAAAATAAAAAAATAAAAAAAAAATATAAATATAAAAAGTAATAATTAACAATAACTTTAATTTAAACTGAAAAAACGGGTAAATATGTACGAGTATCTAAGCAAAGAAAGTGCAAAACTGGCGTATTTATGTGTTAATATGATAAAAAAAATATATTGAAAGTTTTGTTTATTTTTAAAAGATTTTAAAATTATTGAAAATTACATTATTATATTAAAGATATTGAAAAAAATTCATAGAAAAACTTAGAATAAGGTTTTGTATAATTTTAATAAAAAAAATTAGTTGCAAATAAATTTGAGTTTCAACTAAAAACAATAAAAAAATTTATAGCGTTGTGAATAAAAAAAAAATTGATTTATAATTAATTTTACATATATGAAAAAATATATTAGTGAATGTCACATGCGGAATATCGAGCGAAAAAAATGAACTTAAAGGCTAAGTATTCAGACGTCGTCAATTTTGTAAGGAATAATAATAATAAAATAAATAAAAAAAAATTAAAAGCCTAAAAATTATTTTAGTGGAAATGTTTATTAAATAAACAATTTAAGAATACATATTGCAATATACTGAAAATATGATAGTTTTGATTAATAAATTGAAACTTTAGTGAAAAAATATTTCCGAATATTGCCATAAATTCTAAACAAGTTGTGACAGTGAAAATGTGATTTAAATAATTTTTAGAAAAAAAATATATATAAAGAAAAAAGTTTGAAACAAATTAAAAAAAATTAAAAGTTTAAAAAATTAAAAAAAAAATAACTGATATATTTTAAGTTTTGAGAATTCAAAAAAAAAAAAAATGTAATAAGTTTTAGAAGTTCAAAAACATTTTGAAATGAGCATAAAAAACTCAAAAATAATTGTAATAAGTTTTAATAATAAAAGAGAATTTTAAAATATGTTTTAAACATTCAAAAAGTTTTTGTAAAAACTATTAAAAGCTGAAAAAAATTTGAAATAAGTTTTGATAATTCAAAAAAAAAGTTGAAATAAGTTTTGAACATTCGAAAAATTGTTGAAACAAGCTTTAAAACTCAAAAAGTTATGAAATAAATTTTCACCATTCAAAAAAACTTAGAAAACAGTTTTGAAAATTAAAAAAAAACATATGTTTAAAAAATTCAAAAAACGAATAAAATTGAAATAGTTTTTAAATTCCAAAAAATTGTTCAAATAAAAACGAATAAATAAAAATTTGAACAAACTTAATACTTAAGGGGCGCACCTAGTGTAAAATTTCAACATTTTTTCATATTTTAGTAGATTACACCTTTAAAAATAACATATTAAAATTTCAAATCGATATCTCAAATAGTTTTTGAGTTATAGCAATTTAAAGAGCAGCCGCTCGGCAGCTAGAGAGTCTCATTAGCTGCTAGTGAAAACGATCATTTTATCTTTAAACGCGTTTTTCTCGAAACAAAATTTTCCGAATTTCCTGCAGTGAATACTCAAAAACAAATGATCCGATCACTATCGAATTTTTGATCAAAATATCGAATTTTGGCAGGCCGAAAACGAGCAAAATTTTGGGTAAAATTCGACTATTTTTTTTTAAAACGCCGCCATATTGTCAATTTTTGATTTTTTTTTATCGTTTTATTGCCATTGTACAGACAATATTATCTAGTAGAGAAGGCCGGAATCACTGCAGCAGTGAAGGACTTTTTTTCGCGCCGTTGGAGATCGACTATAACATAAAAAATATTTAATTTTTTTCTTCGAAAATTTCACTGTATATTCTGGAAACATATATAAATAGGTTCTTAAAATTTCGAAATAATTCATGAAGTATTTTTTTTAATAAAAGTTCCCAAAAACTACCTTTTTTTATGCCATTACACTGGCTGTGCCCCTTAAGTAATGAAAGAAACTATAAGGAATAAGTTACTTGTTTTTTCCTGCGACTTCGTAGGCATGAAATTTGGAAATGGTGCCTACAAAATTTTTAATTAAATTTTCGGGTTTTTTTTTATTTTATTATGCATATATATTATTATATTAACAAATTTCTCTCAATCTTAGTACTGTTATTTCGAAATAATTTGTTAGATACCAGAGAATTTTGAATTTTCAGAAAAAAAGTGCTGAGAGAAAAGTTAAAATGCTCCAAAAACCCGAATCACTCGAGCGTGAATCGCTCAAATATGTTCGAACAATAATAACTTCAGCTCAAAATATCCAATACCTGATACTTTCACACACAAAATGATGAAAATATGAAATTTTGTACTAAAAAAGTTAATGACTTTTTTAGTACACTTTGAGTGAATGTTGGCGACCAACAAAGAGAAAATACACTACATTTTACATGTTTTCTGGGATAAAAGCAAAAACGCAACTCCTTCCGGTGTATGCGATGTTATGCGATGATCCACGGTATGGATGGCCAATTATCGAAAATGTCGATAAAGTAATAGAAAATCAAGCCAGACTGCCATGAGAGCCCTGTTTCGATTGGCCAGGAGTTAAACGCTGTACAAGAAAACAGTTTGGGCGCAGGGATGCCATATGAGTTTTTTGAGAGAAAACCTCATCCGCCGAGTTTCCATCCGTAAATCGCTATGGAAACGTAACAAAATCGAACAATTTCTGAATCAGCTGGTAACTGGTGATGAAAAGTGGATCACAACGTCACAAGCCGGCACAAATAATCATCAAGCCGGAATTGACGGCCAGAAAGGTTTTCTGGCTGTTTTCGGATTTATTGGCGAGAGATCGTCCACTTAATATGAGCTGTTCCCTTTTGGCTAAATTTTTAATTCGAATCTACACTGTCAGAAATTAAACCGTTTGAAGGAAGCAATGGCCCAGAAGCCCCCCGCTTTGGACAACAGGAGGCACATTGTTTCATTAGACCACACACATCGATAGTGACTCGCCAGAAGCGCCGAGATCTTAGTTAAGAGGTTTTCGTTACTAGACTACCATCTGTTCCTTTCTATAGCGAATGATTTGGTTGGTCAGGAATTGGACTCAAGGGAAGCCTGTGAAAATCGACAAGAATTAAATTTAATGCAAAAATAATAGCTGACTTCATACTGGACCTATGAAAAAAACAGGAATGACATGAAAACTTTTTAAAATCACATATGAAATTCTTTTTTAGCATTTTAACTAAAAATTATGTTAAAAATATTAATAAATCGCTGTATCTGTTTTTCTCTTCTTCTTTTAAAATGTCTTTATAGTTCCACAATGTTTTCACACACTTTCTCTTGATTTCCATTATTAGATTCTCTACAATCATCGCGTCAAGACCCACTGCATGTCGCTTGACTGCTGAACACTCATCGCTATGTGTAAATTTAAAAAATTACCGTGGCATATAATTAAGCTTAATTACATTTTTGTATATTTTAAAAAGTTAATTAAAGTAATAGTTTAAAAAGCAAAAAAAAAAAAAAATAATAATAACAATAAAAACAGCGCAGAAGAGGGAGTAGCTTAACACTCTCGTAATGACCGGCTTCGAGTTGATACTCTCTGCTGCACTCTGTCTCTCCTGTGCACAACAAAATGATACAAGCTTACCCGCAGGCCTCATCGAATTGGATGCAAATGGCGAAGTGGTTACCATATCGCCAGAATTGGCAGCCAGTGAACCATCATTGGATGACGCGCCACTAGAAACGGTAAAAACGCTCTTAGCTAAGAAAGAGAAAATCGACAAATTGAAGGAATGGATAAAGGGTAGAAAGCTGGTTATTGCAACATTGGAAGATTATCCACTTAGCTATACAGTGATGGAGAACGATACGCGCGTGGGCAAAGGTGTGGCTTTTGAGTTGATCGATTTCCTGCAGGATCAGTTGCAGTTCACGTACGAGGTTGTGGTGCCGGAAGATAATATCATTGGTTCGAGAGAGGATTATGAGAAGAGTTTGATAAAAATGCTAAATAATTCGGTTAGTAGGAGTTGGAAAACCTTTTTCAACGAGCTTAAATAAACTACTATGTGAAGCTTTTTTAGAGCTTTTCACGAATACTCATCAAATGCATTTTTCTATATTTTAACTTTAGGAAGCCGATTTAGCCGCTGCCTTTATACCGGCACTCAGCGAGCAGCATAGCTTCGTTTTCTACTCGACCACCACACTGGATGAGGGCGAATGGATTATGGTGATGCAACGTCCACGAGAATCGGCCACTGGGTCGGGTTTGATGGCACCATTTGATTTTTGGGTGTGGATTTTAATTTTTATATCCCTGCTGGCGGTGGGACCGATTATTTATATGCTTATCATATTGCGTAATCGTTTGACTGGCGATGATGAGCAAAAACCCTATTCGTTGGGTCATTGTGCTTGGTTTGTATATGGCGCATTGATGAAACAGGGTAGCACGCTGTCACCGATCGCGGGTGAGTTATACTGAAATTAGTTTAAAGGAATATAATATTGCATTATGCTTGTATAATAAGTTAGTCGATGAAGGAGTGTTGACTTGAAGTTGACATTATTATTTATAGGGGTTAATGTCGATGTGGTTGCCGTAGCAATACCAAATCGTCTGACCAGTAGGCTTTACAAACCACGATGACCAGATGAATTCCTATTATCTGCTGGATATTCTTTAAGTATACCATTTCGATGGAGTTTCTTTGATGGCTTTAACACGCACAGCTCGTAGATTAATTCCTTCTAGAAAGAGAATAAACTGCTTGATCTGCTTATATAGCAATTTCCTTGAAGTCGCTATAAACAGGCACCCAGAAGAGAGATAGTCGGTTCATCTCCTGGTCATCTCTTGTAGAAATCGTGTACAATCCAGAGCAATACGAATTTATCTTAAGAGGCTTCTTTCGCTGACTGTTTGTAAGTTATTGTTGAATAAGAAGATATCGTTATCTTTACAAACCGCTCCAGCTTACATCCTTAACCATTTAAGTCACCTTCACAGAGTTCCACTTGAAACACACTGTAATGATCTCGCAGCCTGAATAAGAACTCCATTTAAGAGTATCGTGTAAAGACTCCTCCACCACCTACCTACCTCTCAAGTTTGGAGGCATCATTGTAGGAGTGCAGAAGCCATCGGTTCATTAGTCACTGCTGCGAATACCTGAAGCGAAGCTGACTAAGGATATCTAGAGGAGCGCTCTTCTGTCGAGCTGAGCATATTAGACTCCATATACCCAGTCCAATATAGCTCAGCCGGTAGTCCATCGCCTTCCGCCGCCTTGTGGTTTTTGAAGCGGGCGATCGCTATTCGAATTTGTTCAAAGTCGAGCATATGATATATCTGTTTAGTCTTCACAGATTGGGAAATCGGTTTCGGGTCTCTTGGTGATCCATTTTCAGTGCTATTCAGCAGGTTTGAGAGTTGTTTCCTCTATAAATTCAGTATACTATGGACAACAGAGTTTGCTTCAGTTTTAAAATCTTCTGTAAGTCGCTGTGTCTTTTCGTAAGATTTTCGAGCATTGCCTTTTCGGTCAGCTTCGCTAGCTCATCATACGAACGCAACTTGGCCTCTTTCTTTTTTGTCTGCAAGCTCATCTTGCTACTCTTTTCAATTCTTGGTATCTATCCCGCCCCGTACGTATTATGCTCGAGGGTAACGTCGCGAGGTATGCAGCAGAATGATGTTCATCCGCTCTTGGCATTATCAGAAACCTACTGTTTTCGTAGCGGCGGTAGAAAGAAGGTTTGAGATGCCGTTCTATATTTCCCTTATATCGAATTGTCGAACATCTTTGATGACTTAATTTTCAAATGAAGGTACCGCCTTCGACGTCTGAAAATGTCTTATTGGCGGATGTTTTCATGCGGTGGTCCTTTTATGACTATTAACTTTTGGTAGTGAGCTCATTTTACTGCATAATTCATTTCGTAATTTACCTATAAATTTTTTTAATAGTTATATCGTACGAAAATTTTAGCTCACCGCCATAAATTCATAAATTTGAATGGGAAATTTCGAGCATTAAGAAATATTGGCAAAGACAACATTGAAATAAAAAAAAAATATTACATTGAAACATACACGTTGTATTTGTTAAATAAAAATAGTGTGAGATACTTGCACAAAAACATGTATAAATGTATATTAAAATTAATTACTTTTTTTTTGCTTTTTTATTATTTTAATTTTTCACATTTCAGATTCAACACGTTTACTCTTTGCCACCTGGTGGATATTCATTACGATATTAACTTCATTTTATACAGCCAATTTAACAGCTTTTCTCACGCTATCCAAATTTACATTACCCTATAATACCGTTAGCGATATACTATATAAGAATAAACATTTCGTTTCGGCACGTGGCGGTGGTGTGGAATATGCGATAAGAAATGTGAGTATACATTGTACATACGTGTATGTAAATACAACGCCAATACATACATGCGTTTATACATATGTATGTGCAATTATAAAGATTAATCGATTGTGTAATATGAAAACAACAACTATGCAATTAAAAAATATAATAAAAAATAAATAAAACTAAAGTATTTAAAGAGTATTTAAAAAAGTTACTCATACGCCACGGTCAACAATTTTTCATAATTTCACATTTTTGCTTAAAAATTAACATTTTTTATGTCTTTTTCTCTTCTCTTCCTCACCAGACCAATGAGAGCCTCTCGATGCTCACAAATATGATACGCAATAATCACGCTGTTTTTTCGAAGAGCTCAAATGATACTTTTAATTTGCAGAATTTTGTTGAAAAAGATGGTTATGTGTTTGTACGTGATCGTCCGGCTATTAATCATGTTCTCTATGCCGATTACCGTTATCGTAAAACTATTAGCATGAATGATGAAAAGTTGCATTGTCCTTTTGCCATGGCTAAGGAGCCATTTTTGAAGAAGAATCGTTCCTTTGCATATCCGATGGGCTCGAATTTGAGTGAGCTGTTTGATCCAAAGTAAGTTGAAATGATAATTGTTTGATTTAAAATTTTTTGTGTTACGCGGAGTACCCTAAATTCTCTTGATACTGAAATATTCTTCGAAGGCTTGCTGAGAAGGGCAATAAATGAGTTTAAAAGTTAGCTGACACTAGAAAAAGTTGTTAGAAGCAGCAACAAGACTTACATAGGATGTGGCATGAGTACTCAGTTGTTCAATAGCGGTCGGAAAAGCACTATCAATTTTTTCTTACTCCAGCTAAAGTCGATCTGTCATTCAAATCGACAACTCATAGAATACGTACCATCAATTCCTTAACGAAACCGTAAGGTCTTTCTTAGCGACATTAATACATGTTAGTCTAGGCTTCCAATCAGCAAGAAGGGCGGACCAGTCTTTATTCCACTTATATTAATGCTTCAGATTCTCTATGTAACAAACTCTTTCCTTTGGATGCATCGTGAGAAATCTTTATCACTAGGGGGAGGGTTAGTGGTTGCTTTGTACAAAGTTTTTAGACGAAGCGGCTTGAGTTCCGACGAGTTTCTGGTTGCTGTAGCACCGCACAGTCGAGAGTGGGTCGAAAGAGTTTACAGAGAATCTTAGTTTTATGAAAAGTTCTTAGGTTGGGTAAGATTAAAGCGATTACTTGGCATCAGCTCACTTAGCCTACCAGAGAGTTTCATAAATGCTTATCTAATAGAACTTTAGAAGCACGCACCATTGTGAATAGTTCTTTTTTTTTAGTTAGATAAACTCTCCCTTTTGGGTCTTACTCTTATCCACGCAAGTCTAGGAACTCAATAATCCCATTTTATCAGTTTCAACGTTGTTTTTCGTAATCTCGGGTAATGGTTCCATCATTTCTCTCTTTCCCTTTGATAAACCGTCGCAGCAACTATTGTTAACGGACCATCTTTTTTTCACAGACTTCTCAACCTGGTTGAGTCCGGCATCATTAAGTATCTCTCAACAAAGGATCTACCCAACGCTGAAATATGTCCACAAAATTTGGCCGGTACAGAGCGACAACTACGAAACACTGATCTCATGATGACTTACTACATAATGTTCGCCGGCTTCGCCACCGCAATGGTAGTTTTCTTTACCGAACTTATATTCCGCTATCTAAATAGCCGGCACGAGGCGAATAAATGGGCACGTCACGGCATTGGACGTACCACAAATGGACTCTCGGTACGTGCGCCGCGTTGGCTACGCCAATTGGAAACGGATAGTGATAAACAGCGGCTGACAAGCTCATCCAACGAGTCGACTATTACACCACCACCACCCTATCAAAGTATATTCAGCAGCACAAATCGTCATCAAGAGAATCATCATAAAGACGCGACGCATCTTAGTAAGGATCGTAGCTTGAATCGTTGGCGACGCGCGGGTCAATTCGGCAATATGATAGGTGGTGCTAGTGGTTCGCAATTCGGTGCTTTAGCTGGTGGTGGTGGTGCTGGTGTTTTGCTGGGTAATGGCCACTTCTCAGGTGGGAATGGTGGCGCTGGTGGAGTACGTCGTTTGATTAATGGTCGTGATTATATGGTATTCCGCAATCCGAATGGTCAGAGTCAATTAGTGCCAGTGCGTGCGCCTTCAGCTGCGCTCTTTCAATACACCTACACGGAGTAGTGCGTGCGCGGAGGCGGTGTGTATGTGCTGGTGGAAAAATGAAACCGTGCTGGGCATTAATGCAGTTCAGCTGCAGCAGGCAATAATCAAGAAGTATTTGGAGCTTTTGCTGAGACGTACAAAATGACAAAGGCATCTCAATATTTGGTTGAAGTGTGCTGGAACCGGAGGGAGAAAACGATGGTTTTCAGTAAAAAAAAACCTGAATGTAGAAATTATTTAGCTTATTTTTGTAATAGATTTAAAAAGTGTAGCACCGAATAACTGTATAATGTTAGAAAATTTATGGTTTTTAATTTTAAAAAAATTTAAATTTTTTTATTCGCACGTCTACTTACATATGTATTATTGGCGTAAAGAACAATAAATTACAAGTAAATATTTGCACCTACACAATTTACTCTGATATTTGAGCTGAAGGACTAGGAACAGGTGGACTAGTTCAGGTGGGAGTACCCAAAACTAGGTTCGAATTCGTCGTAAGCTATTTCCTCTTCTTCTTCTTTGCAGGCATTGATACCGTTTACCCAATTATAACCGAGTTAAGAAGGGCACCGCCATTCATCTTTTCACTGCTTGGCGCCAGCGCCTTCTCTACTTGTTCTTTCCAACAGAGTGGAGGTCTTCCATCGGTGACTACTGCATCAAAACCTCTCCAATCTGGGGAATTCTCATCCATTTGGATCCCATGATCGGTGTCTATTGATTCGCTGAATGATGTTAATGTTGCCGTGTGTCTCATACAGCTCATCGTTCTATAGTTCTAACGTTCAACGCGCAAAGAACCTTAAATCTTACATAAAAACATTTTCTCAAAAACTCCCAACGCCAAATCATAAAATATTGTCATCGCCTATATCTCCGTACCATATAGAAGGTGGGCAATGATGAGCGACTTGGAAAAGTTGGTTTTGGTTCTTCGAGAGAAGGCTTTGCTTTTAATTTTTCTACTTCTGGCTTGGGTTTTAAGGCTGCCATTGTTGTTGAAGTTAATTATGAAAGATAGACGAACTAAGCTCTTCCAGTCATACAATTAATTGTTACCGAACGAAGTAGTTCCAAGCTGGCTAATAAATTACCGACAATCTGTTTTGAAACGAAATACTGGGAAAGAGGCATGTTTTCAACTTTATTGGCAGTTAGGCGGCAATATAAGGTTTAGACTTGAGCATAATGCACTCTTAAATTTTTTCTGAAATTCCGCTAATTTCTTCTCAGACAAAAGATGTTTTGGGAGCGCTGCAGGAATGAAGAGAGGTTCCTACTTCCCTATGCGATTACCCGATCTAAGCAGAAATAGACTTCGGCATATTGGAGTCAGTTTCTTAGAATGCCTTTGCCGTCATACTTCAGGCTGCCAGCTATGTAGATCTGAGATTATACGGAATTTTTTATATACAATTTTTGGTTGATCGTTAAGCAACAGAAGCGATATAGAGCAGACGAAGATAACTCAAGGTGATGGCTTAGCATTCAACTTTTTACTCTGTTTCTGGGATGACTGCCGAAACTTGGTAAAATGCCGCACAATGAGCTAGCCGAGGAGCTTGGTGCTCTCCAAAAAGCTACTTATATCTGCCATTCAAGGTGTGGTTCCTAATAGATTGATATACTCGTAGAGGTTGGCAGTCACATAGAAAGTGATGTTATGATTATTTACAATAAGGCCATTTTCGAAAATAGATTTTCCCCAGAAATAAATTGTTTGAAAAAGGCACAGTTTTTTTTTATTTCGAAATATCTTTGACTTAATCATTAATCAAACGAAATCAAAATGTCACTGCCAAGTTCCCAGTCTACACGTGTTTAAAAGCACAAAAAATTGATTGACTACAAGTAAATATTAATCACATTGCGTAAAATCATTAATAAAACTATAACTGCTTACAGTTGAGGTTGTCAATTCAATACCCCTCTGAAATTTCTTAATGTATTAGTGGGCGTGGAATTAGTGTTGTGTTATGACATATTATATAAAGACAACATTACTAGACAGTAAGCTCAACGTATATGCACGGTTACATATATACGTGTACATATGTACTACAGACAATCACATCCTTCGGCAACTTTACCGAGTAGGTATATATTCGATTAGCTTGCATTTTAACACTAAATAAATCATTTTCCATAAATTTCACAGCTAAGATAAACCCATTATGCGTCAGCATCATACTAGTTAAATACTAGTTAATTTATGTTTATTCGATTTCTATTATGCGGAAATAACAAACCACTTTGCCTACAGCGAGATATGCATTACGTCATGCCTGACAGGAACAACAGATAACCACTCATTTACCGTTGATATAAGACAAATAGAGACAAAATTCCTTCCAACGAGAGCGCGAAATGCACTCCGAATTGTTCTTTTAAAGCTGCAAAAAGAAAGTGTCGTTGGTGCAAGAGAAAATGAATGAGGAAACAATGTTTGCACCTCCAAGAACTCTATTTCCTACCGGGTAATCGCATATTTCTTTTCATCAATTTAGAGGTGTTAAATGAATTTTGTTAATGTGTTGTAATTGTAGGTGTTTATAAATGTACATATACATATATATATGTATATAATATCATACTAACTAGGCATACATAGTAAGAGAGAGTTTGCAGGCACAAATAATTCATTAGATCATGCGTATGATTACTGTAATTGAGTTCATGTAGTTATTTTGGAGAAACTCAATGTTTCATATGAGTAATGTTTAGTATAATTAACGGGACTATTTTAGTCATAGTTTGTGAATTTGTTGTTAAATATTTACTGCCAAATTAGTGTTATGTAAAAAATGTTTGGAAATTAATTCAAACTTCTATTTCTACTTCTACTTCTACTTCTACTTCTACTTTTACTTCTACTTCTACTTCTACTTCTACTTCTACTTCTACTTCTACTTCTACTTCTACTTCTATTTCTACTTCTACTTCTACTTCTACTTCTATTTCTACTTCTACTTCTACTTCTACTTCTACTTCTACTTCTACTTCTACTTCTACTTCTACTTCTACTTCTACTTCTACTTCTACTTCTACTTCTACTTCTTTTTATTCTTCTTTTTCTAATATTTTTCATTTCCTTCTATTCACTCCTCATTATCCTTATATTTATTGCATCGCTTCAGTTGTCCTTGCCAACCCAACACGAACATTCAACTAAGAAGTTTGATCAATAAACAGAAAAAGTATTCTATTTACTCAGTGCCATATAAATGTTGCAACATAACGGTTTCATAAAATTCATCTTCCGTAATGCCCAGTTTAGAGGCACCTATTGGTTTCGATGAATCCTCGCCAGAAAACTCCTATTCCGGCGAGGCTGAGGGTGATGTGCCTGCCGTAGGGGAACCAATGCAGCCGTTGCCCATGGGCGCTGTCGAGATACGCGTGCAACCACCAAATCAACAACCGCCCATGATACGCCGACTGCCTGTGCTTAGTCCAAATCCGGTGCGGGTGCGACCTTTGCAGCGCTTCAACTCACAGTTTGATCGTGAAATCGCCGCACTCGAAGAGGAGAATTATTGGCCTGTGGTACCGGTAGTGCAGATATTACCAATAAATTTGCCACCACAACTGCCGGAGCCATCACTGGATGAGTTGTTGGTGAGTTTAAGGTTAGCAAAATGGTGAAACTTTTTATGCTACTTTAAATTCTTTCCTTAGCGCCGCGTTACCGGCCGCAATGACTTGGAAAATGTGGACACCGTGCGGTTACGCGTCATCTCTTACAGCATGAGCCTTGCGAGTTTGCCGCTCTTTTTGCCTCGCCTACAGCACCTCGATTTGAGCGGCAGTGTGCTTTGCTCACTACGCGACCTCGGTTATGGCTTGCTGCATTTGAGTTACTTAAATGTGAGTAATTGTGGTCTAAACAGTTTCGACGGCACGAGCGGTCTGCCCGCAGTACGTGTGATCATCGCCGATGGCAATATGATACAACGCGTGGATCCACTCACCGACTTACTGTTACTACAACGTCTAAGTGTGCAAAACAATCGTATTAGTGATCTGGGTTTACTCACTTTCCTTGGCATGTGCCCGAATTTGTTGGAATTAGAGCTGCAGGGTAATCCAGTCATTCACCTACCACTCTACCGCAGCACATTACAACGCAGCATAACCACTTTACGCCTGTTGGATGGCATTGCATTGGGCGCGTTGGAAATCGCGCAGGCTACAGTTACTATTGAACCGGCAAGCGTTCATTCTTCTACGGATGGCGAGGTTTCGTCACTGTCGAGTGAGCTGTACTCAGATTCTTCGCATGTCGAATCGAGTGCTTCTTCGTTGGCAATCGCAGTAGCTTCAGCACATCACAGACCTGCTACAGCGCCTCAGCGCGCAAACAGTGATAGCGGTGCAATAGAACATCCAACAAGACCGGCTTCAGGTGTATATTATCCATAAAATCTATGATTGGTTTATCTAAATTTCAATAATTCTATTATAGTCGCTCACGCCGTTGAACAACGTCGCAGTTCGCTTTCTCTCGGTGCCCCCGTTGTCGGTTCCGTACTCAGTTTGGCTCGTCGTAATCGCCGTCAACGTCGTCAGGCCTGGACCGCATCAACGCAGAGTTCTTCATCGAGTTTGTCTGCTCACTCACCGCTGGGTATTGAAAGTTCAGGAATGCGTCTGCCTGCGTTACAGCAACAGTTATCTAGTGATAGTAATGATTGAAGCAGGAACGGTTTTTGGATGTAATTTCATAAAAATCTGGAATGAATATATTTTTACATAGGAGACCTGGAGTTTTAATTTTAATTGGAATAAGAACAGAATATCATGCAACGCCACATCGAGATGACACGAGGTCAACTTTGGCGGTACTTGGGCTTAAGCCAAAAGTACCATTATCCGATAACTCCACACTCGAATTCCTCACCGAGCGAGAGGTTACTGCACCAAGTCGAGAAGTGCCGCTCAAATCGAGCTGTAAAGCCTCTGCAGGGACGATGTGTCACAGAGGCACATAAACTAATGCCCTGGCTCTTCGCCCCGCCTCTTACCAACAGTTGTCATGCTGTATAATTATCATAGAGCAGAGTCGTAAGTAAGCGGAAGCCATGACAAGATCCCGTTAACAGTGAGTTCAAAAATTTTTTAATAGCAACAACTTTCTACTCCTAGCGGAAGCACTAATGGTCTGACCTTGCCTCTTTCCATGAAGAGGTTTAGCGTTTCGTTTCTCATTTGTCCTTGTCGCATCCAATCTTCTGGCGTAGGAATTTATAGTTCCGAAAAAGACATTAGACGCCAGCTTAGAGATGTAGTGATTCGTTGGAGTAGGTAAGAATTTGAATTCCTTAAAACAGATCAAGCCATTCAGGGATTTACATACTTTTAACCTGACCGCTAGTATAGCGGCAGAAGAGATGTTTGACTTTCCGGTTAGTTTCAAGAGAGAGTTTTTAGAGAGCTGGTATTGACAGTGTGACACGTAGTGGCATCCTGTTGAAACTCCACATGATCCGTATCATTCTCTTCAACATTTGGAAAAAAGAATCTTTGAACATGGCTTGTAGCGATCCGAATTGGTGGTAAAGCCAGCTCTTTCCTCATTTTCAAAGAAAAACGGACCAATGATGCCGTCGGTAGTTTTCAGCCAAGCGATTCCCAGCGCATTATGCAAAATGAATCCGTCTCGGCTGGTCATGGAGCTATAGTTTTTGGACCAATTGGGCTTTATATGCCTGCATGCCGCAATCCACTTTGGCGAAGACAAGCTGATCAACAAACTGCATGTAAGGCGAGTTATATTGTATAATTGTCGCTTTACTAAAAACGTTTTTCGCCCGATCTTATCCTCCTGCTGTATTGTGTATCTTTTACTTTATTAGCCGCCTCCGTACGGCCGTTGGACTATAATGAAGAGTTTTTATTTCAAGGCAGTAATACACTCTGAGGGCTTTTCATTCCCTGCCGAGCGGCGAACTCAATTAGAAAAATTAATTTTCTACAAGTTTGGATGTTTGGATGCCAGTATTCGAATTCGTGTCTTCCGAATGTTAGTACATACGAATTTCGTGCGTAATTTTCTTGCAATTGGGGTTGGGGACTTACTATTTGTGGTAGTAAGTTTTCGTAAACCACAAATCCTGTACGGAATACCTGACACATCGGCAGTCTCATTGGAGATATCACAGCTCAAATGAGCCGTTAGCTCAAGAAGCAAACGCTCGATGGCTCACCCGATGTAGGCAGCGCGAGAATTGAGGACTCTCCGAGCATTTTGCGTGAACTTTAACCTTACGCATTTGCCCATTGCCCTCGATTTTTTTTCTCATTTATTTATGTTTATTCTTTTTTTCTTTCTTTTTCTTCGCACAGAAAATTGAGAACAATTTTTGCATAAAACATCAAACAATCGCAGCGCATTTTGTATGTGTTGTTGTTGTTGTTGTTGTTGTCGTTTTTTGTCATTTATATTTTGATTTTGGCGTGTCGCATAGTGTCGAGCGCATTGTCGTTGACACATTTCAGCAACAACAGCAGCAACAAGAAAAACAACACAACTTTTACAGCGCTGCTATTTTCGCTGCCTTCGGGCACTTGAAGCACTCAGGCGCTTTCTTTTATGACACGCTGAATGGCTCTTTCTTTCTTTCTTTCTATTCTTTTTTTTTGTTATATATATGTGTGTATCTACCTCTTCGCATTACTTTGTCGCCTTGCAACAATACAAGACCCGCTAAAACCAGCAATTTGCCTTTAGGGCCAAAGCAAAAAAAAAAAAATGAACGCTTGACTGACGTCAGCGTTTTGTTTGTGTTTTGCTAGTCATTTGCTCTCTTTATATATGAGCTATGAGAGGCTGTGCAAATGAGCACTTTGTTGCCTTTATATGTACATATGTATGGATTAGTTATTTAACCGTCGTGACGTCACAACAAATGCGTTCAACCAACAACGTGTCGAGCGATTACTTTTTCAGTTGGCACCGAGCTCATTTGCTCGCTCGCTTGATGGTCTAAAGGGCTCACGGGTTATTGGCGAGTTGCCTGATTTCGGGCTATTGCTTAGCACGAAAGTAGCGCCAGAGGGAGGACATGTGGCAAATGCGTGACAAAGCCAACAGGCAACAGTCAAAAGCCAGTAGCCAACAGTCAAATAGCCAAGCAATCAACACAGCTTCAGCCCGCCAGCCGGCTACCAGCTTGCAACCAGCTTGCAACCAGCTCTTCTAAGTAAATCTGTGGCGAAATATCGAAGATGCTTGTGTGTGTGTGTGTGTATGTGCTGTGATGACATCAAGTCCGCTATAAAATATTTTGCTGTTTTTTGTTTTTGTACTTGATTTTTGGTTTCTCTTGCATCCTACCACGCGCCAAAAACGCCGCGTGACTTCACAAACTTAACACCGAATTTTATATGTTTCAGTGTGGCATATTTGAGGCGAGAACGCGTCTTGTGTGGTGCTAAGCACGCTTTGCCACTTTGACCTTTCGGAAAGTTTTTGGTCAAATTTTATTGTTCGCGTTTTATTTGTTTTTATTTTTCCGTTTATTTCTCAAAAACTTTCAGCTAACTCGTTTGCTCGCTATTTTAGCTCATCGCAGGATAATAACAGCAAGTGGAGACTCGATACATTCTTATGGGGCTGGGGTAAAACTTGATAAGATGCTTGGTGGCGGTGTTCACTCAAACGATTTCCAGATCAAGGTATTTTCAAATCCTTCCGTTTACCGGATCACTGAATTATCGGATAGCCGGGCCGCATTAAGAGCTTTGGAATCTGTAAGCGTAAAATTGAAAACCGTAGAGACTTTCCGCAGACCACTTGACGTGATAGGTTGACGGTGCTCTTTGATGCTAGTATGGGTGCCTGGCGACTGTAATATCCATACACGGTGGCGGACGAGCTTGCGAAGAAGGACACTTTCCTTCCACTTTCACCCTCATGGAAGAGTTTCGGCATGCCGCTCTCCATTTGTAAGCTCGTCATAGGAGAATTGTGCTAACTCAAGATGAAGAAGTCTCAATGCGTGTAATGTGGGAGGGCAGGAGATAAAAGAACACCACGAGATCTTATCACGCTAAAGAAAAGGGAAATATCTGCAATTATAAGTCTTATGGGATATATTCTATTGAGCAAGCACGAGAAGAGATGGGACGTACCATAACATAATAACTTCTGCAGAAGTTGCGAAAAAGAAGAGGAACATGCAAACTTAATCCACTTCCTTTGCAAATGTCCCGCACTTTGATGCAGTAGATTTAAGACACCACAGGCGGCAAGTTTTAGATTAGATTTGATCAAGATAGAAGTGGCCAAAAGCTACGACAACTCCTCAGTTTTGCAAACTCCACACTTTGGTTTGACTAGATAAAGGATGGGAAGGCCATAACAATTCTCAGTGCTATCACAGTGGGCCCGTTTGGTGACTTATGTGAGCACGGCTACCAATACAACTTCCCTGCCTTCCTACCGACTTTCCCTTGTGGCGGCCGCATTAGATGAGTGATAAGCAGTGCGTATTAGCACGCGGAGGCTTACGAGTTGAAGCTGAAGACAGAGGAGCAGCCAAAATTAAAGAGAATTAATTTTGCTAAACCTCTCCACTCCTTGGCAGGGAGCTCCAAATCTTTCGGGCGTATTTCTGACCTGACAATAAAATTTCTTCATAAGAATTCATCAGCCGTTTGGAGGCGGATCAGAAAAAACTAGTAGGTCTTCAATTTCTTGGCAAAGCTTGAGAACCCAACGACAAGTTGTAAGTGAAGCTCGGTCCGAAATCGCTTTAGCGGTTATAAAGCGCATACGAATATATATATATATATATATATATATATAAAATATATATATTTGTAGCGCGCGTTGTCTCTAGCAACGCCAAAAATCAGTAGCGCGTTGGCGTTGTTGACCTTTTGAAAATGTCTCAAAAGCAATTTAACGCAGACTCGTGAAATTTTGCTGTTGCCTAATTTTATTTTTGGCATGTAACTGCGCATCCAATGTCCGAGAACGCCCGCATAGAGGCCGAGGCAGAGTCATTTTATGTTCACCACACAGCTGCCGCCCAAGTGGCAAGTGGCTTGGGTTGTTCGCGCCCACATGCTACCCCAACATATATTCGCTTATAGCATTAACTGCATCGACCCACGTCGCTGCTGGAGTGCGCGTCCTCATCAGCAGTAGAAGCGGCAGATCTATCAGCGGCACCATCAAAATTATTTTATTATTTTTGTTTTGTGACGCTTGCAATGATTGTGTCTGCTGTGGGGTCGCCTTTCATTCAGCTTTGCTAAATCGTCCAAACCAGTTGGTATATAATATAGTTATTTTTGTAAAAAGCCCAAAATAAGCAAATCAGCTACAGCAAGCAGGCGGCAGCAACTTCTGCGGAGGCTGTGTGTGGAACTTTCTGCTGCCGGCTTTTCATTGCAGTACAACGCCTGCCAGCTCTTTTCAAACTCACAGCCAGCATATTGTAGTGTTGTTGGCGTTAATACACACACACACACACACACACACACACACTTGCGTACATACTCACGACGATATTTGCAGTTATTTTGTTTTCATTTCTTTCCATAGCTTACTGTACGATTTGTTGATTTATTATATCCTGAGCTTTTCCGATTGACGTCATCATGCAAAAATATGCTGGTTGTGCAGGCTTTCGTGTGTTGTTGTTGTTCGAAAGACAGAAAAAAAGATAAAATGATAGGCAGTAAAA